TACCATACAACCGAGTGTGTCACCATCCCCATGCAATGTAGAAGAGCAAGAGGAGATAAGAGTCAATACAATGGTAGCGTCTAATTGCAATACTAGGCAGAAGATAGCACTATTAGCGACCGCAATGGTGATAGTAAGAAGTGAACGCGATCACACCACTGTCTTAAGGGCGCTAATAGATCCAGGGTCGGAATCATCGTTTATAAGTGAAAAAGCAACTCAGTTACTTCAACTCACTAGAACAACAGCAAAAAGAAGTATTATCGGAATGGGATCTATGAAAACGAATGTAAACCAAGTAGTTCAGTTCAAAGTAGTTTCAAGATACAAGTCGGATTATAGCATACAAGTAGAAGCATACGTCGTGTCTCAACAACTGACTGCTAAGATACCCACAAAATCACTTGCTGTTCATAATTGGCCACACCTAGAAGGATTACACCTAGCTGATCCAAGTTATTGTACTCCAGGCTCCATAGATCTTCTTCTTGGTGTCAAAGAATATGCTAAAATATTACAATCTGATTTAATCAAAGGTCCACCTGGCTCACCATGTGCATTAAAAACAGGTCTTGGTTGGATTTTATTTGGTGAGGTACATTCTGGTGAAAATTGTACTCAAGAATCAAACTTTATTTTTACACATCATGCAGTAGATGTAGACGAAATGCTGAAAGTCATATGGGAGTTAGATATGGATACTAAAAGAAAATTTACTAAAGAAGAGAGGCTGTGTGAAGACATCTACGAAAAAACATATAAAAGAAATGATAAAGGACGATACATAGTGAAGCTACCATTTAAGACAGAGAATCCAGTTTCACCGGACGGAAATACAAGAGAAATAGCATTGAATAGGTTTTTACAATTAGAGAAAAGATTCAACAAACAACCACAATTAAAAGAAAAATACACACAAGTGATAGAAGAATACAAAAATATGAAACATATAGAAGAAGTACCAGAAGAAGAAATACATTCAAAAAGATCAATTTACATACCACACCTTGCAGTCATTCGTGAAGGAAAGGAGACTACTAGCACGCGTGTCGTTTTTGATGCTTCATGCAAAGGTTCAAACGGCATCTCACTGAACGACGAGCTCTTATTAGGACCAGTACTACAGGGTGATCTTAGAAGTCTGTTGATGAGATGGCGAATGCATGCTGTTTGTTTCGTATCTGATATTGAAAAAATGTACCGAATGATTTTGATAGCAAAAGAAGACAAAGACTTTCAAAGAGTTTTATGGAGAGATAATCCTGATGAACCTATAAAAGACTACCGTTTGCTCACAGTAACATTTGGGACGGCGTCAGCTCCTTATCTTGCTATCAAAACTCTCGTACAGCTATCTATTGACGAAGGTGAAAACTATCCAATTGCTACCAGGATAATTCAAGAGGATTTCTACGTGGATGATGTTCTATCGGGTTGTGATAATGTTGAAAATGCTATCGCAGCTGCCAAGGAGTTAAAATATTTATTACAACAAGGTGGTTTTCAACTAAAGAAATGGTCATCTAATAATGCAGAATTCATGAGATCTATCAAACCAAGCGAAAGATCCTCTAATGTACACTTAGATCTCAATATCGATGGTACTACAAAGGCATTAGGAATCGCATGGAACTTGAGAACTGATAAATTTGAATACAATTCGAGTACACATAGCGAGTCAATGAATATCACCAAACGTAGTATTCTGTCAGATATTCAGAAACTCTATGATCCTTTAGGATGGATAGCACCATTGTTGGTAATGACAAAGATATTTATACAACGACTTTGGATGGAAAAGTACAGTTGGGATGAAGAGATAAGTCAATCACTAATAGACGAATGGAGGACAATAAAACGTGATTTTAAGAACGTAAATGGCATACGTATAGACAGATGGTTACATACATTCAACAAAGAAAAAGAATCTATTGAAATACATGGTTTCAGTGACGCTTCAATGCAAGCTTATGCAGCCGTGGTATATTGTCGTGTTGTAAATTCTGATGGAACCATAACAACCACACTTGTTGCTGCACAAACTAGAGTAGCCCCATTGAAAACAATATCACTACCACGTTTAGAGCTTTGTGGTGCTGTCTTACTTTCAAGATTGCTCAAACAAGTAACACAAGCAATGAAATTATCTATGTCCCAAGTGTTTACGTGGACTGATTCCACTATTGTCATATCTTGGCTACTTGGAGAACCCAGTAAATGGAAACCCTTCGTTGCTAATAGGGTGGTAGAAATAATAGATAATACCAACAACAGACAATGGTACTATGTGAAGTCACAAGACAACCCTGCTGACATAGCGTCCAGAGGTATGTATCTTAAAGATTTGCAAAATTCGAACTTGTGGTGGAAGGGACCGAAATGGTTGTCTGAACATAAGATAGATTTTCATAAGCCAAGTTGTACACAAACAGATGAGGAAATGAAAAAGGTTATACACGTAAACTTAAATATAAATAATAAGGAAGAAGAAAAAGAAAATCATATATATACACAATTTGAAAATTATAATACATTAACAGAATTGTTAAAAGTAATAACATTTTGTAAAAGATTTCTAAAGTTTAGATTGTTGGCAGAAAATATAAACAATACTATTACAACACAAGAATTAGAGGATTCATTACGTATATGTATACAAATAAGTCAAAAAATAGATTTTGAAGATGAAATAGAAGCATTAGAAAAGAAGAAATCAGTAAAAAGAACCAGCAATCTAAAATCGTTAAATCCATACTTAGATGAACAACGTATTCTCAGGGTGGGCGGAAGGCTCAGACACGCTAATATCGATGAAGAGAGTAAACATCCAATCATATTAAATCATAAAAACAGATTTACATATTTAATTGTCGCTGATGCCCATCGTAGAACTTTACATGGAGGTATACAAGTTATGTTGACGTATTTAACTTCTAAGTACTGGATAGTAAGAGGGAAGGGTATGATTAAGGGATACATAAATAAATGTTTGATCTGTGCGAGACATAAAGTTGCTGTTAGAACCCAGATCATGGGAGATTTACCTAAAGCACGTGTGACACCCTCTCGACCATTCTTGCAGAGCGGAGTTGATTTTACTGGTCCATTTCAAATTTTGATATCGAAGGGCAGAGGTATGAAAACAAATAAAGCTTATATTGCTATATTTGTATGTATGGCTACTAAAGCCATTCATCTGGAATTGGTTGGAGATATGACGTCAGAGGCATTCATTGGTGCATTTAAACGGTTTACTGCCAGAAGAGGAAAGTGCTCCCATTTATGGAGTGATCAAGGGAGAAACTTTATAGGAGCAAATAAGGAGTTAGTAACTGCCTGGAAGGATGCTTGTTTAGAATTTAAAGGGGAAATTGCTGAATCTTTGGCGTGCGATGGTACTCAATGGCATTTCATCCCTGCTTATAGCCCAAATTTCGGAGGTTTATGGGAAGCGGGCGTGAAATCAATTAAGTACCATTTAAAAAGAATATTAACCAATCACTTGACTTTTGAGGAAATGACCACCATTCTTTGTGAAATAGAGGCGTGCCTAAATTCTAGACCGCTCTGTCCGATTGATGACTCAGGTGACATAATTCAACCCTTAACACCGGGACATTTCCTGATAGGCGAAGCACCTATTGTCATTCCCAATCCAGATTTACAGCATGTTAAAGTTAGTAACATATCCCGCTGGCAACATACACAAAAATTACTAAGAGATTTTTGGAATCGGTGGCAGAAAGAATATTTGTCTAGACTTCAACAAAGACCAAAGTGGCTTAAAAAGAAAAGGAATTTGCTATCGGACAAATAGTTCTTATTAAAAATGACCTACTACCGCCTGGTAAATGGGCTCTAGGACGAGTGCTCGAAAAACACCCTGGAGATGATGGAATTACTAGAGTTTACAGTGTGAAAAGTGGTAACAGTGTTGTAAAAAGATCTATTAGCAAACTGTGTTATTTACCTGTGGACATTGAAACTGATTCTAAATAATGAACTTGTATGTAGTTGTTAATATTTTATAAATTAATTTATATACTACAATATTTTGTTACCTTTTATATTTGTTATATATATGTGCATGAGATATATTGTTATTTGTTTAAATTCTCGTTTAAAAAGACTTACAGTCATTTTGGTGGGCGGCATGTTAACGTAATTTACTTATAATGTCAACAATAGAAACAAACACTGGTTAACTTCATGCCATTCTATTACTATTGTCTCGTCGTAGGTTTAAAAGCAACAATGTTATGAAATTGAAGTTAGTTGAAAATATATCCATTTCAGTAAAGACGTGTGTTTTCTTGCACCTTAAATTGATATTGAAAAGTGAACCTTAACACATCAACATAATTAATTATGAAACTTAAGTTTATCTAGTTCTTGTTGTTTCAAAATTGTCACAATATTGTATACCGCTCTACCCGTTGACATTGATGCTCCTTTGGATTTTGGGTTTGCTGGAAGAGAACACCCTTAGAGTTATGCTCCCCTTTGTTAATTTAATTACCTCTGTCATATTTTTACGTATTATCTTATATAGTATAGTAGTGTATACAATAACAGTATAAATAAATAAACAATTCCTAATTAATGTGCTAATTTTATTTCAACTTCATCATAGTCATCGTTTTATCCTCCATCAATACCCGCTATTTTTACCCATTAACATAAGCAGGAACAATGGTCATTCTCATGCATTCAAAGAAAAACTTAGTAATCATAATATTCTATACAAATAAAGCAGAAAATAATCTAGGTATAACTATCAATTCACTTCCTTCCTGTACAAATGTTGTTAGATAAGATTAAGACAAGGAAAGAAAAATATATTTTTACATTGATATTATAGAATGTGATGTATAATATATAGTTCATCAGCATTATTTGTCGTTGATAACGTATAAATTAAAGATAAAACACGAAAGCAAATATATAATTTCCGGTAACACTTTCCCGATATCATTGTTTAACAATCCTAACTACGGGAACATATTTTGTTAATATTCCGATTCACTTAAGTGGCATTAAAATGTAAATTATTAAATTGTAGAAATTTTAGAAAAAAAAAAATATTGAAAACCTGTGCGCAATGTGCAAAGCAGTAATTTACGTGTCTATTACAAAGGTTTCATTATAGATTGCTCCTATCAAAACTTTTAAATGTTACATACATTGAGAAGAGGATTAAGTAACTATTTATCGTCTCTACGTGAGTGAGTAAGTAAATAAAACAGAAACAAAACATGACAACCATAAAGAAAGCATCTATTCGAATGCAACGATGTTTTTTTAAATAACATAGCTACATCGTAAGCATGGAATGCCAATTATAATCAACTTTGTAAAGTTATTATAAGAGTCAAACTGGTGGATATATGTCCCTAATTTCAACTAATTTCATAATATTGATGACTATGTCCGTGGGTGCGCAACCTATTGAGAGACAATAGCATTTACAACTATCTATCTATGGCTATCTAAATATTTAGCGATCGCATGATAGCTAAATGTTCTATTATGATACAAAATTGGCAATGCGAACCAATTACTATAACCTAGAACGTGATATTACATTGCATCGTTGTATTTAAAGTATCGTTTGTTACTTAATGGAGAGTTTTGTTCGTGCATACAAATTGTAAACTATTTCATATTAAGAAAAATTATATAAGGATATTAGAGTGAAAATTAGAACAAGATCATTGTGCTTTCACTTTGGTCTGGCGACAGAATCATAAATAGTTAGAAACATATTTATTGCATAAAGATTATGGACTAGAAAATTCTCATGACAATGAGTAAAATTTCTAGTAAGGTGCATTTAAGATCACAATTAGAGATACACCATTTGACAGTTTTAGTTACAAATCTCGAAACAAACGGTTATGCCAAGTCGTCTGGCTTGACTTGGTTTAACCTCCCTAGCTAGATTCTCCTCTAAAGTAACAGCAATGTGACATTAAAATGTTTGTCACATAAAATATGGAGTAGTATTTCCAATTTCGTATTGACTCATTCGCAATTCGATATTTTAAATCATGATCTTCGGATTTTTGGATCGATTTCGTGTATTTTTTTTAGACGTCTATAAAAACTATCTGTAAACAAAATTCTCATGAATTGATCTGTGACTTTCGATTCGAATTGATAAAAACAACGATAGTTTTTTCAAAGATCGGAAATGCAAGTAGCAGGAAGTGGAAGGATATCACTGAGTAGGTAGTCTAACTAGTAATAGAGGCGGTTAGTCAATCAGCAAGCAGTTTAAAGGACAGACTTTCATATTCGTGTCGACGACATGACTAGTGACTATGTACGTGAAAGCGTGATTGATTGCCGTGTTTGGTATTATAGTACCTATGTACTAGTTACCTGAAAGTTCTGGGGTGTTCGTATATAAGGTAACTAGGTATTAAAGTTTCAACTGCTTATCAATTAAATGTCCACTAATAACATGGTTTTGCTCGCAATATAATGTTGCAAATGTTGTTCGATTATATCGATTCCATATCTTCACATTTTTAACAGATTTGATTGCCTTTTTTTCCTAAGTTTGCATTAATTTTCATGTCATATTTTTTAATCAGAATACTTTATTTGTCCCATATGTAGGTACTTGCAATAAATTATTCAATATTCAATTACATTAATGGCTGATATAAGGACTCTTAGCAATATGTTGTTGTATCGCTTAAAAATCCAGACTTTTGGTTACAAATTATCCAACCACCTCACAATTATCACAATCTATCATCTTATTGTAAATATATATTTTCTATTTTAAAATATGAAGACACAAAATGACTCCTTTAAAAAATTTCTTCGTCCAGACATCTCATTCAACTTCAATAAAAGTTCCTCGCTAATCTGAGAAATTAAACCGCAATGTCAAATGTCACATTGTACTGACCTCGGTCGTGCGTGTTTGTTTGCACTAAAAATAACTCGTTACTGTTTACTATAACCTAGACATAGATGTGGCCGACACACCAAATCAATTAGTTTTATAGCCGAACCAGAAATTACCGAATGTATGAGTTTTTCGTAGACTGTTAGCTCTACACACTCTATTTTAAGTTTGGGCCATTTTAGAATATCGAGGACAATAACAATAGCAATATTGCACCGGTACTTAATTTGCAGTGCCTAATTTTTAGACTATAATTCCTACATAGATTTTTCAGGGAAACTTTGGATATGCTTTTTTATAGATTGAATTTTAACTCTATTTATATGAGCTGCATTATCTATGTATTGATAAGTAATGTATTGGTATTATATTTTGGAACTGGTGATATTAAAGCAGTATATGATGACATGGTAAATCTACGGAGCCGCAGCCTCATTTGTCATTCATCACGCTGTAAGTACATTACTAGTAACCTCATGAGAGCTTCAACTAACAAATATTCTATAAAAATACTTTGCAAATTTTGATTATTTTGCAATTATGATATACTTTGAGAGTAATCAAGCAAAAAATACAGAGGACAATTTTTTAGTTGCGAAAATGATAATTTTGTGTATTTTAAGTATATTTCGACCAATATTAGTTCATAAATGAAACACCGTAATGAGTACATATATGTGTGAAGGCCAAATAAAATACTATTAATAGTTAATAAGTAATCTTGGAATACATATAAACCTGAGCACATATTTGCAACGTACATGCGTTACAATGAGTCTGTATGCCGTCGTATCTGCACACTGTAGTCGTCCTCAAAAAATGACATACTTTACCAGGCTTTGTACTGATGACGCTACCTATTGTAAACTAATAGAGGTTGCATCGAAACAAATCAAAATGCGGTCTTCTTATAGTTATCTTGATTTCCTTGGGACCTCCTTGCTTTATCAACAGACTAACGTCTCTAAAAGGTTTCCATAAAACGAGGATATAGCCTACTATTGCCATGATGGGATTCCTTAAAAAGTGCAACGCGCGCATGATATATCCCTGGTGGTACTGAGGGTAGGAAACTTTTTGTTGGCCACTATAGTACTTAAGTAGTATAAAAAAATTTCCGTACTGGATTTTATTTTGAGATTTCCTTTTCTTAGTGTTTTGCATATGTTCCTTTTATTAGTCTCTTACAATACGTTTAACATCTGGTGCATGAAATATAGTGGGGACACATTAAAGATCGCACTTTGCGTAAATGTACTATAGATTCGGATTAATTTGATAATGGAGGTAATTTAATTTTATGGAAAAAATAAAGGTATTATATACACTTTTTCAGAATGTAAATGGAAACCTATATACAAATGTAACTCCAATCCAACCTGTAGAAGGGCTTACAAAGGTAAAATGCCATACTGTTTGGCGAAATGAATGTACTGGTTAAAAAATGCGTGTCCTTGTGTAAAGCAAAACGCACATTCAAATAGTGGTGCGGTGGTTGGTAGGCACTAATGTAAACTGTTTGTGGCTAGACACAAAAAATAGACCATGACTATTTCCATTGTTTTGCATTGCCACCCGTACACTTGAATAGGTAGGGTTACTATTTTTTATTTAAAATAATCTGACAAAACAATACATATAAGATAAAAAAAAATAGGTGTTGACTGTTTTAGTTGTAAAAATATTCTTTAAATATAGTTCTACTATTTGTAACAGTTTAATAAAGTTTGATGTACAACTTAAGACTTGTTTTATTTAGGAACAATAATTTAATTCAAAAGAACATCCATTAATTATTATTTAATCTAAGTAGAAAATTTTAACAAAGAAACGAATAAAAGACAAACCGAAAGCTGAATACTTAGACAAACCAATGTGGTAACCCTATTACCGACTCCAATTACATTAAATCACGACACTGATCCAACTGCAATACTATAGCTTCTAGGTAATAGGATTGTAATCCGAGAATTGCCTAGGCCTTCTGACTCACGTCTGAATAAATCACGATTGACCCCTAGGAACGTAGGTACAAATGGCGAACTTTATAGTAATTATACATATAACCAGAAATTAGCTTTTTTATAAGAATGGTGTTCAGAATAAAGATAAATCAATAAAAAGCATTTTAATTATTATTATTTCTCTCCTTTTTAAAGGTGAAGGTTGTTCCGCCATATGGAATGAAGGTCAAATAAAACAATGACGAAACAGATGTAGATATCTATAATGCAAAAATGGATAAGTTCAGGTACTTGGAGATATCAAGATTAACTTATACTGATCAAATAGATAGACCTTATACAGAGCAGTGACGGAATTACCAGTAGGCTGAATAGGCTGGAGCTTAGGGCAGCAAATATGGGGTTAATTTTTTTATAATAATAAGTTACAATTACATTAACATGAAGAATTTAATGTGATTGTGAACTTGGGTATTGAATTGTAGAAGTCGTTAGGGACGGTAAAATTAGACTACTGACGACAAATATATGGCAGCGGATGGGCATGCATTTAATAATTTTTGACAGTTGATGAAACATGAGAAGTACACATGGATAAAGGCCTCTGATACTGTTTCCTCTAAAATGGAGAGGGGGAGGGTTGTTAATAATAAAGATTATCAATCTCATTGCTAGCAATAATCATTGTACTGAATTTTAGGTGTATTCATCACGATGGACTAACTGACCTGCCTTTTAATTCTCATCTATCATTCCTGATTGAGGAAGTCATTGACGCCTTAGGTCTTACTATTTACTTTAATAAAATCACCCAACTTTTCATAATACACATTATCAGACCTTTGTCCAATATCATCATATAGAATAATTGTAAGTCTTATTAATTCAATAATATCTTGTACATTAATATATTAATAATCATACTTGTTATGAATTAAGAATTGCTCATTGGTAAATGTTAAAATATTATTTACTTACATTTACATACATTTACATTGCATACATATATTTTTTCATGTTGCTAACAAAGGTTTTTGTTACTAACAGTAAAAAATTACCCTAAATGTAATGCTTATTGCTATCAAATAAATAAAAAAAGATGGTAGAGAAGTTCCCAGAAACATAAGAGATAAGATTAAAATATATTGTTGTACCTAGCAAAATTAATTTGATTAGATAAAAGAGATTTTATAATATTAAGTGTACAATCTACACTAATATTTATAAAATGGTTTTTGTGTATATATTTGTAATGAATAAACTCACAAACTACTTTGCCGATTTCAAATTTTTTTTTCAGCATTAGAAAGCTACATTCACCCTGAGTAACATAGGATATATTTATTGCTAGAAAAGATTAGGGATCCTTACTAAAACTTTAGTAATGTAACTCAAGGTGTAAAAAAATGCTATAAAATATCTTTCATTACGTGCACTGTGGTAACTATTGGTAATAGAACAAAAGTATGTTCTACAATATTGTAGAAAATATCAATAACTACAAAAAACTTCGCAACACTATATGTCCAACTATTATCATTATGTCACAATAACCACTTTTTAAAATGTCCACCCGTGCGAAGCTAGGACGGGCCACTAGTATAATATAAAATTATATTGTTACGATACAAACTTCTTTAAATAGTGTGAGACTGAAAATATAATTTACTCTTTGTTTATCATGACTTTACCTTCAACAAAATTTAATTTGTTCAACCTTTTAAGTATGACCGAGTAATAAACACACTAACATCTAAATATCCAAACACCTCTAAAAACTTTTATAATAATAGTATGTAGGATGAATTCAGCAAAACATTTGACAGTAATTAAGTATCAATTATAGTTATTAGACAAATACCAAAAATGTATAATATGTACATATGTCTACTGCAAACAAATGAAATGCAATTTACTGATTTTGTAAATTTTTATATGCATAAATTGTCATAATGTTTTCTATCTTAATAAGTAATGCATATCAATAATATTTTTGTCAACAAACAAACACTTTCTTTTTCCATGTTTACATGTATGTTTGACTTTAGATATAAACAAGTAATATGATAAACCATATACCAACAGGAGAAGAATAGAGTAGTAAAAATTTACCTTAAAGAAGAATAAATATTTTCTAAACAATTACATCAAAAAAAATAAATCATTTATCATTTTTTAAATCCATCATCATATACAATAATAAGTCTGTGCCATAAACACATATGCTAAGTAACACAATAAAAATTAAAAAAGCAAACATAGGCATGTATGTGTAGTAAAAGCAACATGTACCTATACCCCCTTATTAATAAAAATGACAAATCTCTTATAAATCTATTTTAGCTATTGAAGTGCTTTATCCTATCCTTATGTACTAATTTCTCAGTTTAAAAAACAATGACAAACACTTTAGTAGTCAAAATAGGTTTGTTTTAATTTGAAAGGAGGTTACAGTTTTTATGAATAAGAGGTAGAGTCTATATGAATATGTGTGTTATTTGGAATATTAGCTTTAAGCCACAACTTCATCTGCATAACTAGGATATGTATATTGATCAGATAAAAAGTGGCCATTCATCCTTCTCCATTATATACTGTAGGTATGTATATACCACATACACACAGTGAACATTGTAGTCACAGAAAATTTAAAATTGTAATTCAACTCTTGCCTTAAGACAGTAACAATTGAATTTCTTGCTATTGCTCTCAACTAACACTCAATATTATACAGTTGATAAAAAAATAATTTAAATTTTGTATAAAAATTATTCATTATAAATTTTATGTAGTAGTTAGAATAAAAAACAGAGACCTAAGAATATGTTTATTTGTAAAGATATATATAATATAATCTATACAGTTTATTTTTGTATCATTCTAACAAACTAAACCAATAAACTATTAAACCCCATCAGGGTATTTTTAGTTGAAAGGTGAAATAAGTAGATATTAATTACAATTCAATAAGTAGGTATTTATGTACAGGTTGTTTTTCAAGTGACACATGTCATCAAATCATGCCAAAAATGGAGCAAAAAGACAATGACCCAGTGGGGATATGATAGTATTATAACAAAATAACGGGCGTTGTAGCATTGGTACGCACGGATATAGCACGTAAAGTTTAAATCAAGCCTCGAGACGTTTCAATTTAAATATGACGTCAGTCATCAGTCTACCAATTGTTACGTTACGAAAGAATTCATATTACAAAATACAGTCCCGGCAGGTGATTAGATTGTACAGATATTAACTTACCCATCGCCGACTACGACACATTTAATCGCTTGCATACTGCGTTTTACTTGTTGTCGTACGTAGTCACAAATAAACCACGATATTAAAGGAGATACAAGCAATTTAGGATTTGCTTGCTTGCAATCACTTCACTAGTATCGTTTAGAGAAAATCAACACACTTCCGCATCACAATCAACACTAAAATAAACGAACAGCACAGTATTCAGATAATACGAGTTTCATATCTCTATTCCAAGCGATAAGAAAAAACAAATTTTCTTTACAAAAATTCTATCACTTTATGAACGTTTCGTTTCGCCGATAGCGAGCGACACTCAACGACAGATACAGAAATTTTTGTTCAGTGTTGCTGCTCATGCAGCTAGTCAGTCAGCAGCAATTTTTTTAATATAGTTTTTTATTGCTTTAGATACAAAGGTTTATGAATTTCAACATGAAATAGTCAAATTCTTGCCATATAATTTTATTATTCTTCCATATTTAAAGAGTATTTATTAGTTCTGGTTACACTACATAACCATAAATAACTAGTCACCATAGGTAAAAAATAATTTAGGATTTTCACCACAGACTATTTATATCAGGATTATAGTTTTTAAAAACAAAAATATATTTTAGCTAGTAGAATAGAGAGGAAGGGTTATTAATAATAATATTAAACACGTGTGAACTCTACACGAACGATTGCGGATTATAAAAAAAAATACTATTACATTCTAATCGGGTTAAATACAGTTTTTAATTTTTTAAGAAAAACTGTTTTTGTGACGATGATATGATGAAATTCTTATATAAATATTAACTCTTATATTGTGCTGTAGAGGCAGTAATATTATTCATTTACTAATTTCTTTTAGGTAATAAAAATAAAGTTTGACAACAAATATCGTGCAATTTTCAACTATAATTATATATATATATATATATATATATATATATATATATATATATATATAATATTGTATTATATTTGTTATATTTTTCAACCTGTTCATATAATATGTCTCTAAAAGACTGATTTACCTTCTATTGTTTTATTTTTATTTTTTAATAAAAATTTATTTTTGCTTGATTAATATCGGACATAATACACTTTGACCACACCATAACGTTTATACCAAATTTATAACATGAACATACAATACATAATTTACGATATTTACCCATTTACTAGTTTATAAAAATTTTATGTGTTCATATTTTATAATAATCATCAATTATATTACAAACTTAAACATAAAGTACAATTTATCGATTAAACTTCGGTGTACAACACTATCAGAAACCGCGCACGTTTTTCGTTTTTGCGCGGTTGAGTTATGATTTTCTATAATCTATGCTAGTATGTCCTCTTCTATAAATTGTGTTGCGCGGTATTGCGTTATACGATTGTTCAATTTTACAGTAATATGGCAAAAGGTGATAAAGAATTAGAAAAACCAATAGTGAATAATGAATTACCCAACCCGGAATGTCGAAGTGTGGATCACGACGATTCGGAGTCTACTCAAGAACAGCCTTTGGACATAGGAGAGCATTATTTGGTGCGGCGTTCGGATGAGTCATGGCACCCGGCTGAGATAATACAGACCCGGTACAATGACGCCGAATCATGTTATGAATATTATGTCCACTATGTGGGATATGATAGGAGGCTCGACGAATGGGTTTCCCGCCACCGGGTTATGAATGATAGATTTGACATGTGCGAACAATCAAATAACAACATAAATTCAGATCATTTACTCACAGACAAATCTGGCCGCAAAATAACACGGAACCAAAAACGTAAACACGATGAGATCAATCACGTGCAAAAGTCATATGCGGAAATGGACCCTACAACAGCCGCTTTGGAAAAGGAACATGAAGCAATCACCAAAGTTAAATACATAGATAGGATTCAGATTGGAAAATATGAGATAGACACATGGTACTTTAGTCCATATCCTGACGAGTATGGAAAACAATCAAAACTTTGGATTTGTGAATACTGTTTAAAATATATGAGAATGGAAAAAACATACCGATATCATCTAAGTGAATGTACAGCAAGACAGCCACAAGGTAGTGAAATATACAGAAAAGGTACAATAGCAATATTTGAGGCAGATGGTAAGGAGCACAAGATTTACTGTCAGAATTTATGTTTATTGGCAAAGCTTTTCTTAGATCATAAGACATTGTATTTTGACATAGAACAGTTTTTATTTTATATATTATGTGAAGTTGATAAACAAGGAGCCCATCTTGTTGGTTATTTTTCTAAGGAAAAAGATTCTCCTGAAGGAAACAATGTTGCTTGCATTTTGACGTTACCTCCTTATCAGAGACAGGGCTATGGAAAATTGCTCATAGCTTTTAGTTATGAATTGTCTAGGTTGGAACAAGTTGTTGGGAGTCCAGAAAAACCATTATCTGACCTGGGCAAACTCAGTTATAGGTCATATTGGTCGTATGTTTTATTAGAGGTATTAAGTGCAAGTAGAGGGACATTGAGCATCAAAGATCTGAGTCAGATGACAGGAATATCACAAACAGATATAATATCAACCCTGCAGTCAATGAATATGGTGAAATATTGGAAAGGGCAGCATGTGATCTGTGTAACACCTAAAATAGTTGCTGAACAATTAGCCAGTTCACACTTCAAGAAGCCACGTTTATGTGTGGATCCATCTGCATTGCGTTGGACACCGCCTAACAAGCAAGGGCATTCTGCTAAGGCTAAAAAGTAGTACAGGCTTACAGGCAGGGCTTAGAGAACTCTGATATTTAGTCACATCTTGAGGATGATCTCTAGGTGCAGCCTGTTAAATGGTTGAGTTGAATTTTTACTTTGTTTTGAATGCAGTGGTTAGATAGTGTTAGAAGTATTAAAAATAAATCTGTAAGTTACAGGATGTGTTACAATGAGGTATTGTTTCATATGAACATATAATGTTGCACTGCATTTGTTATTGAAGTATTGAACTTTACTTTTATAATGCAAAGACATCCCAGTGAAGGGACTATAGATACTGTTAAGCATTCGATATAGGATTAATAATTGAAGATGATGTATGGCCAAGCTAATGGACATATAAAAATAAAATACAAAACCCATGATATAAAAAGATATATTTCTTTTGCAATTAATTTAACTAAAGATCCAAATATTGAGTAGTTTATTTGTGATTTATGACATTGTATGGCAATTGTGTTAGTGTAGTTATTTAGATATGAATGAATATTGCCTCTAGTGTTTGTAGGCATTACCTTGTATCTCTATACCACCTCATACATTTTTTATTAGCATATTTATGATAAAGTAATATTAACTAGTTTCAACACAGTACAACAGCTTTGCCTTTAATTTTAGATGTGTAACTGAAATTGATCATGATTGAATATATATATATTAAATTAAAAATTACTATGAAAACACCAAACTTCAATTATTGATTGATTTTTCATAATTTATTCACATGATTGCTTAGATCTGTACAAGCTTCATTCAGTTCCTTATAATCAGTATAGTGATACTAATCTTAAGTTGCGAACATTTTGATGTTTATCTCATTAATTTGATACATAAAGGTCACACTTTTATGTCAGTATGTAAGCTTAATTCTTAGTTTTAAGTATAAATGTCCATTTGATATCATGATCTATGTTTTTATGAACTGGTCATTTGGATTTATTCACTGGTCGATTAGAAGTATGTTCATTGAAATTTGTGTTTACACAAACTTTCATCTGTGAAATAGGAAAGTCATTAGTGTTAATGATTTTTAAATGCAGTCTGCTTTATTATTTTTTTTTTTTCTGTGCCGAGAGTATAGAACAATGATTATTCAAAGTAGTCAATATATCTTAGTAATACATTTTCCAATTTGATCAAAATATTACAATCATTTACATAATAACGTTTTAGACAGCAAATTTAAATAATTTGTTAGGCATTTACAACAATTTGATAGCTTTGTTAATATAAAACAGAAATTTAATTTGCTTTTGACCATATGACCATTTTGACCATTTGAACATATGACCATTGTATTACCTAATATATTTATGAAGCAGACTTTGTTAAATTAACAAAATGGTTAAATAGGTTTACCTTTTAAATTCATACTGTATAGAATGATTTTTAAATGCCATGCCAAAATGTCATTTATGGTGCACTTTAGCTAAAATAAGACATGAGAGTACATCCAATTGTATAATAATAATAAATGAAATGTATTTATTTTGCGTAAAATTGCTAGTAGATAACTATGTTATGTAGGTAGCAGGTGAATGACTTGAGACATATGTGATTACATCATGTAAATGAGATGTGCACGCCGAAAATTATGATATGTGTATATTGTTAAAACATATTTTCTGTACGTTACTTTCTGTAAGTTTTTGTTTAAAACATCCAGAACCTTGTCAAAACAATTTTTAGTTTGTTCTGCAATGTACTCATCTTTGACTATTCACAATTTGCCACTATAGTGTCGGGTTGTTTGAACTCAAATGATCTTCCCATTGCCGTGTTAATTAGATTCTATGAATCATCAGTTTTCACTGTTTATTTGTGATAATTCTAATCGTAAGTAAAATTGAAAAAATAAAAATTAAACTGAAAGTTTCTATTATTATTCTAATTTATTGTCCCCTTTATCCCACTAGTAGAATAAAGTGATTTTGCAATGGTATCTTCTGTTCTGTTACATGTAAATAAATACAAGTTCATGTTTCATTATTTTTTGGGTAGGTAGGAAGTTAAAAAAAACAGTTTTCCACAATAATCTATCATTCCAATTTATTCTTTATTTTACCATAATTCATTCGCACATTGATGAACACTTATACAGTAAATAGAGATACACGCATTAAAAATAATTGTTACAAACATGATTCTGATTTTGTGCGTTAGTATAGTGCTTTAGAACTTGGTGTGATATAGTAATACTATGTTACACAAACATTGTTGACTCGGGACAAAATTAGTATAGGGGCCCAAACGGGTTTATGTTCTGTCGATTGCAAAAATAACCAACAAAAGTAGTGTCGAATTAGAGAAGATAACCCATAACATACAATTTTAACCAAATGGAAATTGTTGACTATATTTTAAACACTCATTTATGTATTGATTTAACGCATTACTAAATGAGTATTATCAATTTGACTAAACGATTAACAGTTTGAAATGGCTTATCGCCTTAAATTGGGTCACACTGATAAAATACTCGTAAAATTGTTTTATCATGTTTTGATAAATGGCAATTCTGCCATTTATTACTTAGAAACTTTTTTTTTGTAAATTCTTATAATCTTGTGTGACTTCGATTATGTTTATAAACTTTTCAACACTAGTCAATAGTTAGTTGACCATTATTTTTTTGATTTTTTTTCGCACTCAATGCCCCATTCAGTTATGATACTAAACAATTATTCAGATATTTTTCTAATGCAACTTGGCAAACAGGATGACGGCCCACCTCGTGGAAAATGGTAACCTTTGCATATAGACACGAATAGAACTATTGATGTAACGACAGAATACACCGTGATGTCCATAGCACCCTACATGCGTTCATTATTCCTAAGAACTGTTTATATAGGCCATTATTTCAACATTTCATACCTCAATAAACTTTATTGAGGACTACAGACCGCGTCGTAAGATATATAAATATGGTATGATAATTAGATTTGTGTCTTGGTTGTCCCAGAAACTTTTTTGTTTCTTATATAAGTTTATAATAATAATTTTCTATTTAAAAGACTCGGCGTCAAAATCGATGGGTTTTAACAAATAAGTAACAATTACCTTTATGTGTGTACACACAACGAATAATGTGATCTTAAAATAATAACAGCTCATTTCATTCCTCATAATGTTACAAGCTTCCTATAAATTAATACTGGCATATATTTTTTTAGATTCTCTTGGCACTAAAGGGCGCCACCCTCGCCCGAGTAGTAAGTACTGACTATAAAAGATGTTTGACGAATTCAAGCGACATCAAAGGACGGAGCAAAAAAAATGACCCACACTATAACCCGCGTGGGCCGAGATCTTAGATAAATAGTTATGTGCTCTGTAATAGTTATAAGAAATCGTAGCACGAAGTTTGACATTTTTTTTTATATTTCCATCCGCATGTTGCTTGAATATTTTTACTTCCATGAACCATGAAAAGCTTACCATGAAATGTCTTCCGAAATTTCGGGACAAAATGAAACAAAAATTTGATGTTAAAATTATATAATACATACAATTTAAAAATATTAAAATATCATTCCTTTGGACTTTTATGATAGGATTTATAACGAACGAAATGTTAAATTCTATTTACGGACCCGATTTCGGTATGAACGAGAACACGAAATTAAGGCTGAAAATTCGGTATTTCATTTCATGGTAGAGCCTCAGGTATTAAAGCCGAATTACGTTTATACCTTTCCTACCTACCTATTGTTTAAGTATTTATATGAAGCTAATAACAAACCATTGTCTTTATCTCTATTTAAAATAGAAACTTAAAGAGTTTGATCAAAAATTATCAACAGTGAATTATTAAATTTTACGGTCGAGAAAAGATTCATAAAAAAGAAATAAAAAATTAATAATGGAGTTTATATCCTGTTATTTTAAATTTGAATAAAATCATATTTTCTATTCGTGGTTTATAAGTTATATAAGATAATAAATATCTTAAACACAATGTGTGAAAATATTTTCTGATTCGTTTACATTTTGTCGATATTTATCTTTATCAAAATATAATGTGGAAACTGAATGAAAATTTTGCCGAAGTCAACTTTAGGCTCAAAACTTGACATACGTACGTGAATTTGTAACATTTAATTAAAGATATATCTGTGACAGATACATATAAGTGGAAAACATGACTTAACAGTATAGACATAAGTTACATTATTGTCTGTTGATAAAAGAAGAGCAAACTCAGTCGACTCGTGGGTGGGGGAACTCTTTGGTAACAATCATGTGTAAGTACATTAACGACAAACCGAAACACATGGAGTGCAAATTTATACACATCTTACCATTAATTCACCAAACACAGAACTTTAGCGTTAATATCCAACACTTATTACAATATATCTTTTTTTTTTATTATTTAATATTTTTTTTTATTATTATCATCAGAACAAACTAACCAACATACGTGTTACATATCTACAACTAGATATATAAGTACTGTTACTACGTTACGATTAGTGTACAGAAGAATTTGTTACATTACAATAACGAATGTCTATCAATCATGTATTAGAAGGGCGTTACTAAGTTTACACAAAATGTTATAGCATTCCAAATTTGACCTTACCAATTTAGACATAGAGCCTTAATTAGTGGTGTACATTTATGGCACTGCGCAGTGCAAGTGACAAATATCTACTTCAAAAACGTGATGAAATATTTTTACTTTTTTTTTTTTTATCAATGCTTTTTACCTACTAACACTATGATACTTAATTTTAGATTTCAATATGATATTAATACCTCTGACGTTATAAACATCACATATTGGTTAAGGAAATCTTATAATTTTATTTGCTTCAAAAACCAGTGTTTTGACTAATTAACAGATTGTAAACCGCAGTTGCCGCAATTGAATATTTTACAGCAACTTTTTAACACATTTATAGTAAGTATACATAATAATCGTTTGTTTCATAAAAGATTTATTTATCAGTATTTATAAACTGCCATTCGATTGATTCAAATCCAAATTAAAATATTGAAACACCACTTCAGATCTTAAAGTCGTCTGTTTTATGAAATTGTAGGTCATTTAAACACAGCCTTCTCGTGATTCTTTGGTATTTTATATTTTATAAATTTGAAAATGACATTTTCAAGAAACTTATAAACTTTCTACTTTGTAAGGAACCACACGCTCTTTACCAGTGGCAAACGAATCTATCGATAGATACGATTAAGAATACACACGCATTAGGAAGAACAAGATGTGCGGTGTTTCTTATCTCCCTCTATCCCATGGACATTAACTGCTTATGTATCTATAGATAGGTTTGATTGATACTTGTCTACACAGACCCCTTAGATAAAATATGAACGAATCTATTGATAGAATGGTAATCAATAGTCTATGACATAGGATGAGACAGTGAAATACGCTGTCTTGTTCTTTCTCATATAAGCGTTGATCGAAGCGATTCTATGGATAGATTCCTTTGTACTTTGTCTATGTAGCTAGGTTACGGATTGATCAATCAAATAGGCAGAATTACACTTTACTACGATTATAACAACATGCCCTTTTTACACGACTGATATGGTCAAACATACTATTTCCAATGTACTAGTTTCTCACACAAGCTTCAAGCGTTTCCGAAAAAAAGTGTTGCCAACATCGAAAATTAAATGAGAAACAGTACATTTAGAGGAGATTTAAACAATTTATTGCTAACTCTTTACAAAGAATAGTGCAAGCTATGGAAGTGATAAGGTCTACTGTTTTCTGATGTGGTGCACTTCAAACGTTTCTACATATAACTGTTTATAAGTTATAACTCCCCGAAGCATAGACAATGAGATTCGTTGTATAGCACGCTGCAAACAACTTGAACAAATTCATAGATAATTAAGCTTGCGCTATGTAGTATTAAACTCATGATCAAGTTATTTGGCGATATCTAAAATATCTGGCAATGGTAAAAACTTATTTTAAATGAATAAAAAAAAACTTTTTAATCTTTAGTAGTTATAGTATGCGTGTTGGCAACACTATGGGAGATGAAACGTCTGAACAACATCAGCCACATCGGAAAATCTGGTTCAATTCAACCAGCCGCTACATATGTCCGGTACAATTATTATAATAACAAGACAAATATTTTTGTACTAAAATTTAAAAAGCCCATCTGCTTTTGAAATTTGTAAATAAATATAATAAAGATAAAAAAGCTATAGTTTATAATAGGGCAGATGTTGTCTTTTTTTATATATTGTTTTATATTTTGTGATTGCTTCTTAATTCAGTTAGGTAACTGAATTAAAAAAATATGTTTAAATATGTTAAAATATGTTTAAAGACAGTTTATCGAAACATATTAAGCCATTGGATATAGTAGGTATTATTATATTATTCTCATTAAATTAACAAAAAAATGGACACAAATATTAATCCCTTTTCTTGTGAATTATAAGCACCGTTTATTGTTTGAATATTATTATAATTATTGTAACGATTGTATTGTTTGAATATTATTATAATTGTGTTCGTATAAATTATTTAGTCTATAAAGATAGCATATTCTTAAATTATCATTTTTAAAAAAATACACTATGATCTGGAATTAAGCGCTTATATATTATACACAGTTACTATGTATGTTCATTAATACTGACAACATCATAAGAAATAAAATTTAAATAAATTTGGTGATCAAAATTAAAATGAAAAAATTATAACTAAACGACATTAAAAGCGCATCGTAAAAATAAATAATTTTAAAAAGATACTTTTTTTGTATTGCACACAGCAAAATGTTTCTCGAAAAACTAGCCACAAATAACGATGTGCCGTTTTACGGTGTTGATTTGAATAATGGAAATTTTAATTTCAACTTATACAGACTGTACATAAGGTGTACAGTTGTTCTGCTAACATGGTAGCCACAAAATATTATTCAATCAGTTGTTAACTAGTACAACCGCTACACAATGGATACAAGAATAGGAACGTTAAATACCTCTACTTGATTTAGTTTGCAAATAAAATTAATTTGCACACATAAATTTCTCGTAGAATTGTCTATTTTAACATTTACAATAATAGCGTCTTTAAGATTATATTTTTTTTTCTATATTAGGTATTTTAATAAGGATCATTTTTAAATTCTCTATTTTGCGGTCATACTGTTTATTCGAACTTAAACATTTGTACAGTGGCATCCTGATAGTACTGAAAAAGCAGGTCATGTGCAAGGATTGCTTCAACGACTCCTATGTAAGATGTACAGTTACTATACGGAAAGTTCAAAATTACATTCGCGTTCCTCTTAAAGAATATATGCACACACTTAACATACGGTCAATGATATACGTTAGAGTGAGACAGGAATAGGATTACTAGTTGACAAACTAACAGCATTAGTAGGTTATTTCGTATAATGACAATGAGGATGTAAAATGCAATTGTCAGCTTCCATACACTATGCTACTTTTACCATATCAGGTAACCTATGCGCTTCCTACCGTCTCTGTGATTCTATCATCATAAAACTTTCTAGTTTTAGGATATTTTCTTATTTTTGTTACTTAAGTAGTGATTACTTATACTGTTTGGACTCGAGGCATATTTTTGGTATCCTTGAAGCAAACCTTTTGATATTTAAATGAAGTTGCATATAACCGAATATTAGGTTCGTCTGATATATAGTGTAATGTAAATGTAAGACGACAGTTGGCGCCACTGTGCAGTACACAGCCACTAAACTTGCACGCATTTTTGCAATACCTTACAAACATCTAAAGAACATGTAACGCGATTAGCGAACCGACTACACAAGTGAACATTTTAAAGCGTATTTAAATGGCACAACGCGAAACAAAAAGACGATGGGAGGAAAATAATATCACAAAACTATCACCAACACATAATTAATGGTGTAACATGATCTTTTGTTATTTACATAATAATAATAATAATATATCATATATTACAATATATAAACTGGCGAGCAAAAGAATCGAACCACGAAGAATTACACCCACGTATTGTCGATTCAAACATATCTCATAGATCCCAGTTGTTAAAATATCGATTGGGATCAAATTCCATCAATTATCATTCATGTACTTTTGCCTAATCTATTTTAACCCACCTTAAACACTTATTTGTGAATGACGTTTTAGGGGCATTGCCCTCTTTATAATAATATAGAAATAAAATACATTTTGATCATACAATATATGATTATATTGAAGATCGAATTTTCTGGGATTCCATCTTAAGATCCTGACCTGATTCCTGACTTGGGTGACACTGCGATCACCCAAGAAATATAGTCTTACAAATGAAAACAAAAAATAAAACCGGCCCACTATTAACGAAGGAATCAAAAAATAAAATATATATATATATATATATATATATATATATATATATATATATATATATATATATATATAGACGAACATAAAGCCTTCTCCTTTTTTAAAGTTGGCAAAAAATTAAGGAATATGGTACTTATTTTAATCAGATAGCTAGGACTAGAAATAAATACATTTCAACTGACAATAAGTGAGTGGCTCGATTTTTTTGCACGGTAGTGGTAGTTGGATAATATTGTCATAAATATACATACCTACTGGCAGGTACTGAGAAGCAATTTGGTTATACATATATATTGAAAATATATGAGATTATTGATATATTTGAGTTTGATTAACAATTTTTTTCAGCATAAACAAGTTTATATCAATACATGTATATATATTTGTTTGTCTTATATAGATTTATTACCCTATGTAATGATTTAAAATGATAATGACAAAAAAAAATAATTAATAAAACAATGGACGTTACTGAGTTAAGTAATAATCAGTACACAGATCTTTTTTAATAAAATAAAAATTATAATATTAGTCTTAAGTATTTTCTAAACTTTTAGAGGCCGTCTTTTCTAGAATCGTATTATCGCAATCTCCTGAATGAATGAATGATATTTATGTGTGAAACGAGATGTTACATTTTGAGCCCAACCTTGTACAACACAAAAAAATTAAAAAAAAAAAATAAGAGTATCACTGGAAAAATATAACAAAATTTATTTAAGACGTACTTCATCGAGACAAAATATTTTTACTTATTTTTTATGTTTGTTTTCTTTTATGCGACTTGGAATAACATACAAACTGACGACCCACCTGATGGAAAGTGGTAACCATCGCCTATAGACAAGAGCAATACCATGGACATAACAGAGTATATTGTTTCGCCCATGATACCCCCCATGCGTTGCCATTCCTGATGACTCAGGTGTTATTCCTCTTGTTACGTGACGTCATATCACTTGCCATGCCATGAAACACAATAATGTAACTGATTATATAAAAAAAATGTGTTATATTTAAATAGGTTTTAGATTCGTTTTTATATAGTGTACAATGATTGGACTTAGGCTCCATATAATTCTGACAATCTGTAGCTTTTTATTTATAATATTACCAAAGAAACTGGGACCAATTCTAAAACGATATTAATCTAAAGAATTATAGGGATCTTTATGTGATTAATTTTGAAGAGTGTTACCCTCACACAACATATATCAGACTATACATTTCAGAGTCCCTTTCTCCATAATTGGGCATCTTACGAACTTCACAATTAATACACCTATATAATAAACTATATATTTGATATAGCCAGATAGAATTATAATTATTATTAATAAAAATTATAACTAAATAATATATTTCGAAATATTCTATGTCCGAGTCAGAGAAATTATAATATTAAACTCGGTATAATAAAAAAAAAATAGCATGCACAGAAAAAGACTAGATATACATCTGTTTAGACACAAACCACGTGTTTGATAAGTATAATTAATATAATTGTATGGTGGTCAATTACGAGAAAATAATCTTTAATAATAAATAGTATTTATTACAATATACCTCATTTAATCGTCAATATTATACATAAAGATTGATTTACATTAGGCCAGTTACTATTCTTAAACTCGCGAAAAATCAGTGATGACCAAGTAACGTCATTGCGTCAATTCATTTAAAACGACTATGCTGTCGCTTTGTCAACGTAAATATTGTTGTTGTTTATGACAACCACGATTAAATGCGAGTTAGTTCTCGATACCAGTACTGATGACAGTAACTGTCTCAATGTAAACTTGTCTTTCATGGTACATAATAGAAACACATGATTAACTTTAAATGGTATAATAATGGTACTTACCATAATTAAACATTCTTTCACATCACCTTGTGTACTATTTTATTACTTACTCATATAAAGTAAAAATAAAAACGAAAGGCGGATTTAACAAACAGATGCACCAATGTTGCCAGCTTAGTAAGTCGGAGCTGTGTAGTCGATGTTGCCTGTAAAGTTTAAAAATAAATAACGTTAGTCAATAATTATAAAATAAACGTAAGAAGTGTCTCCTACAATAATATTTCATTTATATTTATTTTTTGCCAAAAAATAATCTTTTTTCGCACATACTCACTATTACCTACGTATTGTGATTTTAAACTTAAAATTTGTATTAAAAAAAAGGGGCACCAACGAGTGATGATAGGTAAGAATGAAAAAGCAAGTCAGTTAACCCATGGTGATGAATACACCTTCGATTCAGCACGATAGTTTTCATGGGGTTTTCACGATAGTTTTTAACTATAGCTATAGTTACCAGTGCCAGTGTTGTGTGGCTGCGAGAAAGGCGGTTCGCTGTATGCAGGCTGCGGATCGGGCGCTCCAGGGTAGGCCGGGAAGGCGCCGGGGCTGCCAGCCGCCTCCACTTCGTATGCAGGTGCGAACGCCGCCTCCGCGCCAAGCCGGAACCGTTGGAACGCGAAGAACGCACACGCCACCTACCGCCGACGATAAGCAATCTTTATTTACCACTTGTTAAAATCATTGATAAATTAAAGAAATATTTACCGGTATGACGATATAATTACGCACAGTCTAGATAGCATAGAAATGTGCGTTCGATTCCCATGAGACTGAGTCGTTGGGAGGTATTTTTTTATTTATGACCTGATAATATATCCTAAACGCAGGGTAATGCATTAAAGTACTCGTATTATTAAATTTCGAATTTATTATTAAAAAATAAAATAAAACTTCATAATGATGAAACAGAACAGTTTGTTTGTTTGAACGCGCTAATCTTTGGAACAACATGTCACATTTGATTAATATAAGACTGTGTAGCATAAAAAACCGATTTCAATTGTTACAAACTAGTTATATTGTTTTCAAAACTAAACTACTGGAGCGATTTTGATAATATTTTTATGGGATCAATATGTAAGTATACCCTCTTAAATTTTTGCATTCGATAAGTCATTTCTTGTGAAAGGTAAAAGCTATTTAATATCATGACTACGAGTAAAGCCGTTATATATAGCTAATACTCATGTACATTTGATGTTTTATGTACTGCTTGAAATGGTATTTGACTAAAGAGCTGTAACGTCATGTCGTTTCTGCACGAAAACGACTTTATTGTCTTTTTTTTTTTTCAAAAAATTATCAATTATTTTAACTAACTACCACTATAACTTTCAGGTGAGGGAAAACACTGGGCTAACACCCTTTTAATTATAAGAATCAATAGTCTAAGCGAGCAATAATGCAATTACTGACCCAAGCAAAGATAGAGAAGAAGCAGAAGGCAATGGCGCCCTGCATGTTGTTGGCGGTGCCGAGCGGCGGCTTCACAGTCTTGCCCCACGCGTTGGAAAGGTAACAGAAGCCCACAAAGTACAGGAACGCCCAGAATGCTGAAAGCATAGAGTTTAAACATTGAAAAGGTTTTTTGTGCAACTCAAAATGGTAAACAAGTTGATGGTCCACCTGATGGAAAGTGGTTATAGTCGCCTATAGACGAGAAAAGCCACATGTATCTCATAAGTCTATTACGATGATGATAATTACTATACCGACATTGATGAGAACTATGGTTTTTCACCTCCATACCTTGTAATATTAGGTACTTCAAATAGAAATCATCATCATCATTCCAGCCATTATCCGTCCACTGCTGGACATAGGCCTTCCCCATAGACTGTCATAAGGAACGGTCCTGAACCACCTGCATTCACTGACTTCCTACAATGCATTTCAGGTCGTCACTCCATCTAGTGGGAGGATGTTCTACACTGCGTTTGTCTTATAATAAGTTTAAAACTGTCATTGAAAACATTTATTGAACAAACTAAACGATTACTTGAATGACAAATATGCATAGCGATAGTTGATCATCATGCACGGGCTTTTAACGACCATTTAATTTTAGGCATAGTACTATTTAAATAAACACACATAATGTTAACAGAGATTTAAAAGAGTAACAGTCGAGTTTCTTGCGGACTCTTCTCAACAAATAATAACTTTCCGAACACTGCATTCATAAAAAATTACGATTTAAAAGTGTTTATAAACAAGTTTAGTTGAATAAAGATGATTTGGATTGTATGGAGGAATTTTGCAGACTCCAATTTGATCCTAAATACGCAATCTCTAAATCAATGCTAGGTAAAATCGTGTATAAACGAGGAACGTGTTGTGCCCACTAAGACAATTTACGGTCAATTTTACGATCTCATAAACTGTTATTTGTGTGTACAAGCACTTTCCCTGTTATCTGTACGCACATGAGGGAGGTAAATTTCCAAAATATATTTCATACTGTCAATTGGAAATAAGTTTGTTGTGGACTAACTAATGAGAAATAAAAAATATAGTAAAATTGTAACTAGACGTTATCAGTTTCTGAAAGTTATTTAAGAAAAATTAATATGACGGGGTTTAATAAGACCAATACAGATCATACAATATTTTTTAGAAATTTTGTCTATCTATATATTTGTTGCGGAATCATGTAAAAACTATGTTACTGTACCAAATTTCATGTTATTTCCACAGTTGTGTTCATAAACGTTTAATTTAAAATCTTGTGTATGTTTCATCTTAATACGCTATCTAGAAATGATTTACTTCATTAGTTATCCTATTTCTGTTAATGTTCAATGGTGTTCTTGTTTATATTGTCACCAATATTAACAAGAACACCATTGTTACCACAGATTATACCGTTACGCTTTAAATTGTCTGTCTTCATGCATAGTCGCTTCTGAGAACCAAGGTGTAGTCGAGGATTCTTGTGTCAGAGAATGCAATGGTTTTTTAACGCATTTATAGTCAACAACGATGATATTGGTGCTACGTAAAAAATCAGAGGGCCTATAATCAAATTTTGGAACCGAACGAAACATAAATTTTATCTCAAAATTACATAATACAATTCGTTTAAAATATTAAGAATGTAAATGAATTTTACAGTAGGATTTATGACTAACAAAATGTTAAGCTCTATTTACTAATCCCGATTTCGGTATGAACGAAAACACGAAATTAAGTGAGAAAATTCTGAATTTAATTGCATGGTAGGCCCCCAGATATCTAAGACCACGCATATAAAGGTGGATATAACAAATTTTACAACCAGACACACTATGCACTTTTCATGTATTATATAAAATACTGTTCTTTTTTTCGGAAATCATATATAGGTACATGATAATTATATTAAGATTGTAACAATGTAGTTTCTTTTTATATTTTTCATATTATTTCATTAATTTTATATATACGTTGTTGAATGGAATCACAGTTCGAATTACCGCCGTGGGTGTCAGTATTGATGTAGAGGTCAAATGGCCTGCTCTTTAAATTGGGGACAATTATAACTAACCTGTTCAAGAAATGGACAGGTTTTAATTGTTCTCAATATACAAGCTTATAATGTCATTGACTTCTTGATAACACAAATTTATACTAAAAGACCATGTTCTCCAACTTTTTCTTTTGCTCGTTATACATATAAAAAGTTGGCAGTATGGTCCCAGTATAGAATAGGCTACTCCTTTCTCTCCAGTGGGTGTCGACTAAGAGAATTTATTGGTAAAGGGATGGGCAACAGCGTCCCTCTTAAAACATCTCTAAAAGCTTAACTGCGGTTGCCAGGAGGGAAAGGGATTGTTAGTAATGGAGACTGAGAATCCCATTGCTAGCAATATACCAAACCAGGTGGACCTCTTCACGGTTCTCCCTGGAAACTATTATGGTTAATTCCTGATGAATTCATCATGATGGGCTAATTGGCCTGTTTTCATTCTCATCAATCACCCTTCACTGGTGCTCCGCCAGCGTATCCCGTTAGCGCAGGCAGGGTTACCATACCATTTTCATCAATCAAAAAAAAACTGCGGTTGCCACCTCGCAACTACTGGCAAAACTTCCCTTATGTGGAAGGCAAGTTTAATAGTGGACAGTTAACGGCTGAAATGATGATATATAAAAAAAATATGCCTCACAAGGGGCGTACCACCATATCAATTTTTATCTGTAAACGTCAATGAAAAAAGAAAGAAAGAAATATTTTTATTCAAGTAAACTGAGATTTAAGCATTTTAAATAGTCATTTAACGCAATTTCAGCCAAGAAGAACGGGCAAGAAACTCAGCTGTCGCTTTTTTCAAAATGTTTAGCTATATAAATAATGAGTTTAAAAAATTTGTGTGAATACAAACTACTATGCAGTATTAGATCAAAAAAGCTGTTGCGTTGTTCACTTGTTTCACTGCAAATAGAGTTATTCACAAACATACAATGACTCATTGTAAACAAATGTGAGCAAAATTTGTCATACAAGGTCGTATAGGATTTATAGGTCTCTGTAACCCACATTTGCAATGTTTGATTGTAGGGGTGTAGCCCGTAACTTTTACTATTGATAATCATGTTCCTTTCCTTGTCCGATATCTATTTGGTAATATGTTTTCCTCTATCTGTATCTAATTGGTAAATAAAGGTAAATTTTGAAAGTTTTGCCCAGATGATTGGTCGTGTGGTCCCAGCATAGGCCACCCCTTCCCATCCCTCCCTCTTAAAATATCTCTAAAGCCTGACTGCAATTGCCAATCCGCCTGCCAAACGTGGCAACTACTGGCAAAACCCCCCCAAGGGGGAGACTTATGTCCAGCAGTGGACGGTTAAGGGCTGATATGATGACGAAGACCCACATAATGATTGAATTATCAAAATTCCTTTCTTATAATTCACTTTTTATATTCCCTTTTGTATGCTATACAAAAAAAAAACTTATCTGCAAAATTTCATGATTCTTGCACTCACATATGTTTCTATTGAAGCTTTTTTCACATTTCGATAAAACTTATTAATAATGTATACTGTACTGAAACCAAATTAATAATATACACTAAACATAAGACCAGCAGTGGACAGATAACGGCTGAAATGATGATGATGATGATGAAATATCCCGTAACCTTACACCACACGTTATGCCACAAAGTAAACAGAGATGCTAACTTGTAAGAGGTTTCTTAGGTGTCACTGCCAAGACGACCAAAATGCTTAACTGGAGCGGCGACATAACTAAATACCACTCTGCTATTAGCCATGATAAATTGGTAAACATCTCAAATTTATAAATAAGGTTGCCTATAAGAAAAAAAGCTGAGTACAAACTAAACTAAAATAACAGGAATAATCCATAATAATATACTGACCAGAGAATCCCATATCAGCCAGAACATAGTGCTTCCTGGTCTTCACCGATGACATCTGCTCGAAGAGGTACTCGCCCGCGATGAACCCGATGGACGCGATGAAAGCTATCACCGAAATGCCTACACCGTAATTGCAGGCGTTCGTATCTTTGTTGTAGACACAGTATTCCTTGTTGTCCGTTTTGTCGACGTACCAGCCTTTGGCTGATATACAGCCCATCACTATCACACTGAATAGCTGCCAATTAAAAATAAAACATAGACATCACTATCACGCTAAAGAACTGCCATTTAAAAATAAAACAATCATCACTACATGCTTGTGAGTATGTAGTGATGTCTATCTAGTGAGGTTTTTGTCTTAATTATACACATACATAAACAAATACAAATATATTCAAACACATAAGTCTCTCACTTAACAATACACACATATTACATAACTCTCACAATTTCAAATGAGAGTTTTAATTGTTGATATTTATTTTTTCTTTATTCTTTATTGTACACAAAATATAATGTTAACCACAATTCATTTGAAACATAATGTACAAAGGCGAGCTTATCTCTAATAAGAGATTTCTTCCAGCAAACCTTTTCATGTAAATTGTATGTTATTTTAAAAAATAAAAATATTATGATATTTTCATTTTTTATGCAATTAAGAATAATCAACATATTGATGGCCCATTTGATGGTAAGTGATGACCATCACCTATAGGTACGAATAGCGTGATAGACATCACAGCATATACTGTGATACCCATGAAACCCTTCATATGTTATCATTCCTGAACACTATGATGTTATTTTTCTATACCCTGTAATTTCACTGTTATATAGCAGTGACATTCTAGACTTCAATTTGAAACATAGCCATAAAAGCACAGCTGTTTCACGGCAGAAACACGAGTGGGACAGAGGTATACAAGCAGAGAGAACTTTTGATCAGTCTTATTCATTTTTTTTTAGGTACCAGAGAGAGACTTTGCACAAGTCTTTGTTTGCTTGGGTACCTCTGACACATTCGTGTTTCTACCATGAAGCTGCTGTGATCGCAATGAATTTACAGGATACAGCTAAGTCCTCAGGAATGGCAATGCATGAGAGGTATCTTTTTTTTATTGGATGAAAATGGAATGGTAATCCTGCCTGCGCTTTCGGTATACGATGGCAGAGCACCAGTGAGGGATAATAGGTAAAAATGAAGGTAGCTCATTTGGCCCATTGTGAAGAATTCAACAGGAAATAACCACTATGGTTTCTAGAGTGAACCGCGTGAAGATCGACCTGCAATGAGGCTGTAAGAATCGATTACTATCAATCTCTTTCCCCCTGCATGGGGGGTATCATGGGCGAAACAGTATAGTCTGTTATGTCTATGAAACTGTTCATGTCTATATGCAATGATTACCACTTTCAAACACTGCTGGGCAGGCTGCTTTTTTGCCATTCTAGTTAAAAAAAAAAAGGTAATAAGTTACATAATGTGTTAGCACAGATTTTTTAATAGTCACTGTGTTAGTCATAGCACCCAATACAATATTAACAAGTTACTAGAGCATGAAATCAAGGATGAACGCCAAACAAAATTATATGGCTTATTCATTGACATACAAAAAAAAGATCATGATTAATGTAAGTGAGTAGTAATTTTTATTAATTTTGAGTATTTTGTCTGCCAGAAAAAAACATTGATAAAACAAATATTTGTTTGTCATAGGACAAGGTATGAGTGGAGTTGGAAACTTACCATAAATAAAAAATAACATATCAAGACAATTTTTTACAAAATTTTAAAGTACTATTTTAATAATTTTGACTATAGATATCACTGGACAGAGAGAATTGAATGTAAATTTTGGCTAAATGCTCTTTATGTTTAGTGGTATTTTATGTCTGATAGTGTATCTAGGATATTTTTTTTTTATATTAAATACTTATTAAATGATACATGTATACCAATTTTGTCTAAATTATTCTGAAAATTAATATTTTTTATATATTTAATATCCTTTTATGTATTTATTTATACTTTTGCACACAATAAAATATGTCTACAAGGCGGACTTAATGCCTGTAAGCAATCTCTACCAGTCAACTGTCACACTAAACAGAAAGAGTAAAGGTCGGTGCATAGATTTTTAAAATAATTGTAAATTAAGTATATATATATTGAAATATCTATTTGTGTATGTGTGTATGGATATAATTGTACCTGTGTATGTTAAGCTGTATACTTTTTTATGTGCCACCAACTCATTCCTTCTACCCAAAGCTTTCCTGGAAGGGATTGCTTAGTAATAAGACTTATACTATACTCATTGCAAAACCTTCAAATCAACATTTCATGTAATATTAATGCAATAAAGTGTTCAATAAAAAATATTATAATTATGAAGGAATTCAAATGACGATCAACTATTTTTAGTATTTCATAACAAAAAGATAAAAATAGGTTCTATAATTTTATTATATATGTGTCTGTCTAACATTGTCTTTTTACCTTATATTCATTTATTATGAAATTTGGTAAGTGTATATTTATTTTAATTGTTTAATAATTAAATGACAAAAATTGAACATATATTAAAATATTAAATTTCATCTTATTTAAATACTGAATCTCATTATAATAATAATAAAATTATAGGGGTTTGATAATAACAATTTAGGATTTTTTTCTATAAACAACCCCTAAGAATATCTCTTCACTACCCCATATTTAAGCATCATAGGTTGTACCTGGAAAAATTAAAAAATACGCATAATGGCCCAAATGAGAGGCTAAGCGCGAAAAAGAGAGTCCAATTTACATTACATTACATTACCTGGAAAAAATGTTTGTCCGATTTCAAAAATTTGCTCTGTATTATAAGAAATTCTAGCTCATAGAGCAGGAAATTGGTATAATTGTGTGGTATTTATTATTATCATATGAATAAAGTATAAATGATTAATTTATTATTAATTACCACTGAAGGTAATTTAACTTCTCTCACCAGAGTCAAACAATAATCTACACAGACAAGACTTCCTATCAACATAACAGTGTCAATTATTTAGGTAACATATACACAACATAGATGTTAGACACAATTTCAAGGTTAGTACGAACACTGGTATATAATTATATAGATAATGCTTTACTTGGTATTACTTCAAAGTAGTCAAATGTTTTATAGTAAAATGTGTTAAATTTATATTCTATGCTCTTAAGTAACAATAGTATAGGTATTTATTATTAAAAAAAAATGAGTGTTGTATTATTGTGTGTATGAGTCTTTAAAATATAGTTAGATATACAAATGTTATATATAGCTATAACAATGGGGCTCATTTACTAAATTGATGATGGAAACATAATATCATAAACAATAAATTACAGAATAATGGAAAATAAGTTGAAAATGAACATTAATATCACATTATAATGAGATGCTTATTAAAAATATGAAATTATATGTTAAATACTATAGTCACGAGATACTGATGATATCTTACCCAACAAACCGCCCTTACAATCACGGGTGGCCTTTGGATGAATGCTTGAGGGTCGAAAGCCCCACCGGCCTTCCCACCGCCATAAGCACCAGTTGTATCCATTTTTAAAAGATCAAATAAATAATTTAACAATTACACCACCAAACTAAACTGCCCATCAATGGAAAGACGAGATTACGACCTCCGCAGATCTCGAATACCAATTTGTATTATCGATCGACCTGAAGACATCCGATGACAACATTGACAATAAGAAAATCTGTGTGTGGTCTGTGCTCTACGCTCGTGTCAATGAATGACATCGATCCGAAATAGTACCACCTGATTGGTCGAAATAAAAAATAACATACGTATTTGTAATATGCACCAATCAGAAATAAGTATTTTTTTTTCAGAACTGTAGGTTTCATTCTTTATCTATGTTTTCAGTTTTCATGTATTTTCCAGAAAATTTGTGGATATCTTTGGTGGAAATGAGTATTGCCATTAACAAGAACAAAATATCCCTATTATATCAACCAAGAGACATCCAAAAAATATGTTTGTTACGTAAATGATAATTGAATAAGTTTCATTTATATTTATTAAAAGATATATGCATTTTTAATAGTATAAGATAATATATACTTAACAATAATAGTATATTTATTTTGTGTCAATACAATGCGCAAATTATTGACCCTACTGTGTAAGATTAAAACTAATAATCGTAATATAATAAACGTTTATATATGTATCATAAACAATATATAAGTTACTATTATAATATCTAATAATTATCACCATATTTATATTTACATATTATTATATTGACTAATTTAGAATGTTATACCTATGAGAAAAACGATGTTAGTGTCCTGTTTTCAACACATATTTATACAAACACTATAACTTCAGTGTCGTCCGCCTGACAAGTACTTTCATTGACCGAGATAAAAATAGCCTGTATTTCTTTATCCCATATAATACGTGTACTCGTATTATATAAAATTTCATAGATTGGTTATACAAATGAATTCATCGTCATCATAATAGCTGTTAGAAGTTTACTGCTGAATATAAGCTTCCCCCTTAAAGGATTTTGCCAGTAGTTGCGCGTTCAGGTGCGTTGGTAATCGCAGTTGCATTTTGATGATATTTTAAAAGGGAGGCTCCTGCCCAGGCTTCGATCAAATTCATCTTCGAGAATTGATTCGAGACTTCAATTAAATACCCTTAGTCGCTTCTTACAACACCCACCGAAAAGAAAATATATTCTATCCTATTATAGCTTAATCTGTTAACTATGAATATACGTGTATAATATCAATTGGTCTTGATATAAATCACTTAACATTATTATTTTTACCAACGGACTACATCAACTGCGTCCTTTTCTTTCAATTAAGTATACTTTTCCCCTAACAGCAATTTAATTTTTTTTTATTTAAAAATAAAATATAAATAATTTTGTTTTTTAAACCACCGTCGAGTATCTGTACACATTTTAAAAGTTGACTGGTAGAGAATGCCTTATAAAATTAAGTCTGCTTTTTGTAGCACATTTTATTGATCAATAAAGTTTAAATGATTATAGAAATTATTATATAAATATGTGTTGAAAACAGGACAATGACATTATGTTTTCCTTATATCTGAATTAGTTAATAGTTAGGTACTCGACCGACACAAGTCTAAAATAACTATTTAATAATAATTATTATGATCATTTACGTATTGACCACGATATACGAACGTTTATTAAATTGGTTTCAGTTCATTCAGTAGTGCAAATACTTTGTGCATTGTATTGTTATATACGTGTATAAGTAAATGTTTTTTTTTTTTTTATAATATTAATATACATCGAATAATATTTTGTAGTTAATAATTTATGTGAAAGAAATGCAAGCAATTAAATGCGTCGTTGTTGGAGATGGGGAAAATTATTAATGTTTTAATTTGTTGTAAAGTTAAGTGTAATTACTATTGGGTATAAAGTTATATGTACAAGTGACATGAAGCTGCATTATATTTATTTTATGTACTATAACAATTACCTGTGATTCTATTAAAAGTTTTAAATGTAAATCTTTAGTTAAATCGTAATATACGCAGTAGTTTCACGCAGTCAAAAGTCACATTTTAATAAATATGCAGATATAAATTTTAGAAATATTACATTATTTCATAACAAAAAATGCAATTTCGGTTGTAACAGAACTTATGGCTAGAGTAGGTATATTTAATTATGTAATTTATTTATTTATTTATAGCAAGGCAACAGATTACAAATTAATACATTTATAAAATAAATATTACATGAAACGACATTAAATTTGCACTCCAATAACTGCTCTGCATAACATTCGATATTATATACATTAAAAGAATGACGGCTATAAATTTAAAGTAACAAATTGGCAGCCTTAATGTAACATTGCAAGGATTGTTGGAAGATATCAAGGTCCTTGCATACATTGTTATATTTTCTGCACATGCGGATAATTGGATTGTGATACGATACATTATTGTTACAAATCGGTATATAAAATAATTTTTGTATTCTTTTATTACCTGTACGAAATGAAACAAGGCTCAACAATGTGCTACTGTCCCATTTATAATTTATTATTTTATAAAGAGTAATGAAATCAGACATAGATCTTCTATTTATAAGAGAATTAATGTTAAAATGATTAAGTCTTAATTCATACGAATGAAGTTTCCTTCTCAGACCATACTTAGTGCTCAAAAATCTAACAAAGCGTTTTTGAATTGCTTCTATTCTGTCAATGTGGTTCTGATAAAAAGGAGACCAAATAACAGAACAGTACTCAAGTGAACTTCTAGCTAGTGATGTATAGAGTGACAAGATAGTATGCGAGTTTTTAAAAGGTCTAGTTGTTCTAAAGATAAACCCTAGAGTTCTATTTGCTTTTGCAACTAAATAATCATAGTGTTGTATAAATGATAATTTTGAGTCAAGTATAATACCTAAGTCACGAATGGATTCCTTTTTTTCCAAACGCATATTATTAACACAGTATGGATAACTTATAAGAATTCTATTTTTAGTAAAAGATATGACGTGGCATTTAAATATATTTAAGTTCATATTATTATCAATGCACCACTGATGCAAACGATTGATATCTCGCTGCAGTATTTCACAATCTAGATCACAACTTATCGTACGATATATCTTTATGTCGTCAGCAAAGGCTAAATGCTCACATGTTAAAGTTTGGAGAAGATCATTGACAAATAAAATAAATAATAGAGGGCCTAAATTAGAGCCCTGGGGTATACCAGATTTTAATTCAAACGGGACTGAATCATAGCCGTAAATAGTTACGATTTGCGGACGATTCATTAAATAAGATTTAAGCCAAAGCAAAAGTGAGCCATGAATACCCAAATGATGTGCTTTGATGCAAAGTATCTCATGGTCAACCCTATCAAAAGCCTTCGCAAAATCCACATAAATTGAATCAACTTGTACTTTGTTATTAAAGGCTACGTTTATATAATGGATATATTCAAGAAGATTTGTCAATGTGGAACGATTATTTATAAAGCCATGTTGGCTGGAATCAATAATATGCCTAAGATGAGAATAGATATGTTTATACACTAGCCCTTCCAGGATCTTAGCAAAACAAGAAAGAATGCTTATTGGTCTATAGCTACTTATATCTGCTTTGCAGCCTGTTTTATGTATTGGCACAATTTTAGCAATTTTGAACAAATCAGGGAAACTTCCCGATGACAACGACTTGTTAAATAATATAGTTAGAGGCTCAACCAATGCTATTGCACAATTTTTAACAAATATTGGCGGTATTCCGTCGGGCCCTGCACCCTTAGTAGCATCGATAGATTTCAATGACTTGATAACATCGTCTTTTGAAATATAAATATGAGACAGACATTGCGTTGCCTGAGAAAACTTTGGGGTATATGACTTGGCGGTAGACTGGCTGTAAACGGAAGAAAAATAACTTGCAAACAAATTAGCAACACTATAACCATCGTTTGCACGTTGCTCTTTGTAAAACATTTGGTTTGGAAGATCGTTTGTTAATTTTTTAGCCTTAGTATATCTCCAGAATGCTTTGATATTAGTCTTTATATTCTCTTCCATTTGTGATATGTAAATTTTAAAGTTTTTATCAAATAACTCTTTAGATCTGGATCTTAGTAACGAATACGTGTCAAAATCACGCGGGTTGCTAAACTTTTTATATTTGCGATGATATTTATCCTTTTCCTTTAATAGTTTTATCAGGGATTGAGAGAACCAGGACGGATATTTGGATTTTTTAGATTTGGCCACGGGAGTATATTTTTCTATAATTTCCCATAGAACATTATAAAATAACTGTAAGAAATTATTACAATCAAGATTCAAGTATTTATGCCATTCGACTTTCGAGAGATCCGCTGTACAACCTAAAAAATTGCATTTATGAAAGTTAAATCTTTTAATGATATTTTCCTTTAATGATGAAGTATTGTCTGCGGTAATATTAATCTCTAAAGGGGGGTGGTAAATATCGACACGACTAAGTGGCTGCGCGTCCATCACCTTACATACCAAGTCAGTACTTGCCAATACCAAGTCAAGAAGCTTCCCATTGCTGTTAAAAGTAAAGTTACGTTGAGCGAGTGAAGTTCGAGATACAAAGTCTCTCATAAGCAAATATTTCTCATTAATAGTTTTAAAATTTTTTGTGTTATCCCACTCATAATCTGGTAGATTGAAATCACCTATAATAAGAAAATGTTCACCAAACGACGATAACATTCTTTCTTCACAAATTTCTAGATAGTCAAAGAATTGCTCACTCGCAATATATGAAGGCATATAAGCTGTGCAAATATTTAAAGAAATATGTTTTAGCTTAATTTTAACCCATACATCTTCAAGTGACGAATTCCAATCATATCTACACTCCGATAAAATACTTTTATTTACTGCTATTAACACTCCTCCACCATGGGTTTTACTATATTTTGTTAAAAATTCAATAGGTCTATCTTTACGATAAACTTTATACCGTTCGTCAAATATTTCTGCTGAATATACCGTATCATCGAGCCAAGTTTCACATAGACATATTATATCATAGTTATTACAGATAATAGTTTTATAAATATCATTCGTTTTAGATTTCATACCTCTGATATTCTGATAATAAATCGTTACATCCATCTTATTCATTTTAAAAAGATAATTACAAAAAAAATAAAATAAAAAACAAAACAAAAAGTACACTACGATGATATATTCATCAGGAATTAACCATGATAGTTTCCAGTGAGAACTGCGAGGAGGTCGACCTGGTTGGGTATATTGCTAGCAATAGGATTCTCAGTCTCTATTACTAACAATCCCTTTCCCCCGACAGGATATATTGCTAATTATAAGGCCGCTAGTCCCCATTACTATCACCCCCTCCCCTCCCCCCTCTTACGTCATGTAGGCGTTAAGTCTCTACATAAAAATAAAGCTGAAAGGATACTTTGTTCGTACATTATGTTTTCTTTGATTCTAAAACAATTATTTTATTTTACATTATTATCAAATCTGTCTGTGTATTTTAAGTAAACGAAAACCCGTAAACGGATTTTAATGGAATTTGCGCAAATTCTATACGATGAAAACATACCTTCACGTTATTTAAACTTGATAAAGATATAATCATTTATATAATTTAGATTGTTCAATATGATCATACTATTTTTTTTTATTTCATCTTAGAATGGCAAACAAGCTGACGACTCACCTGATGGAAAGTGGTAACCGTCCCCTATAGACATGAACATAAGAGAATATACTGTTTCGTCCATGATACTCCCCTTGCGTTACCATTCCTGAGGGCTCAGGTGTTATTCCTCTGTACCCTATAAATTCACTGCCGAATCCCACCCTTCAAACCGAAACAAAACCATGCAAACACAACTGCTTCACGGTTGAAACACGAACGGGACTGAAGTCTGTCGTGAGACTACGAGTTATACATATTTATCGTTGATCAGTCGCTCACATAGTTGTAAGTGACAAGAAAATAAAAAAAAATTCACTACAGTATATATGTATATGTACGTACTAAGTACGCAGTTGAATAGAATTATGTAGATATTTCGATTTTTTTATATAATTGAGTTTTTATGGAATTTGAAATAATAAACAAACAAGCAACAACATTTAATGAACAGTGGCAAGCAAAGTACACACTACACAGATGAGTAGCACCATGAACTGTGACAACCGTGATTGTCCATCCTGAAGTCTATGATGTTATTCTATTTATCTTAAATTTAATTTTATTTAAATTTTATCCTTCTTGCTGTGCCAAATGTGTGAAATGTTATCTACTAATCACATTATGGAATGCAATAAGAAATAAATAAATACCTTAAATTCGGAATATGACACCTTTCAGGAATATTTTTTATCATTTTATTGCTTCACAACTTCGCGAATATTACCTATACGAATCAATACGATCTGTTAGGGGAAAAAGATTGTTAGTAATGGGTTCTACCAGCCCCATTGCTGCCAATATACTCTATCAGGTCGACCTACACACGGTTCCCTCTGGAAACCATGGTGGCTAATTCTTATTCAATTCTTCACGATGGGTTAACTGACCTACCTTCATCCTAACCTATTATTTACCACTAGTGCTTCGACAGCTTATACAGATACCGTAGGCGGGGTTATCAGTTATCAGATGGGGTTATCATTCCATTTTCACCCATTAAAAAAATACAATCTACTTACATTATAATTTGGTAAATATGTATAATATAATTTATGAATAATATTACAATATTTTATCAAATATATGTATATATATCCTTATTTGCTTCATTACAAATACTGAAGGAAAATCTATTTTTTAGATGCGTCGGTAAAACCTGCCTGCTCATCAGTTACACGACGAATGCTTTCCCGGGGGAATACTTACCTACAGTGTATGTATTATTTTAATAAACTTTCATTTTCCCCCCATTTTCGTTGCCATTCCTGAGGACTCAGGTGTTTTCCTCTGTACCCAGTAAATTCACGCCATATAAACCGAAACACAGCTAGAAGGTATTTATTTATGGGCTTATAATTTATAATGAAATTGAAGGCTGAAATAAAGTAACAAAATAAAAAAAAAATATTAAGTAGGTATTATTTCTATATTTAATTATTAAATTAACCATAGGTTTAACAATAGTTTGGCTCTAAAATTTAATTACCTTATAAATAAGTAATCACAACGAAACTTTGTATAAAAATTGTCTGTTTCAATACCTACCGTTATCCTACTCATAAAATTTTATCGATGCACCAAATGGGACTGATATATCAATGAATCATCAATACATATTATAAAATCGTAACTGGTCGCTATCTGTACATGGAAGATACATAAAAAAAAAAAACACTATTATAAGGGGGATTAATGCACGCAATAATGCCCAAAACAATTATTTATAGAATTTTTGTCTATTTGTCTGTATGTTTGTTTGTCTGTATGTTTGTTTGTCTGTAGGTTTGTGCACTCTAATCTCAAAAACAGCTTAACTGATTTGAATTTGGTTTTCACTAATGCATTGCGGTTTACTTCACTTAACATGTGTGTGTTTTGTTTAAATCGGTTCATAAATAAAAAAGTTATATCAATCTAAAAAATCACATATAAAATGCTATATAATCACCAATCAGTTGAATTGGCTGAAACTTTATGAAGATATTAAGTACGTAATTATCATTTAAGTATATAATACAATATAAGGCCAGATTCATGAAGAATTCCAACAAGAATTATATACGAGAACTACATAATTAAAGGCAAACAACACCGCGGGAAACGGCTAGTCCTTAATATGTATGTTAAACTAGAAAGTATTTATTTATAGGCCTATGTTTATAATAAAACTTGTAGACTGAAATAAAGTAAAAAATTAAAAAAAGAAAGCAAATATTAAGTATTACCAGAGGGAGATTTTGAACAAAAGTCGTTTGTTCGGTACCTCTGTCCCATTCGTGTTTGCATGGCTGTGTTTCGGTTTGAAGGGTGGGATATGGCGTGAATTTACAGGGTACAGAGGAATAACACCTGAGTCCTCAGGAATGGCAACGCATGGAGGATATCATGGGCGAAACTGTATACTCTGTTATGTCCATGGTACTGCTCATGTCTATAGGCGACGGTTACCACTTTCCATCAGGTGGGTCGTCAGTTTGTTTGCATTCTAAGTTGTATAAAAAAAATCTGTATTTAATTGAACATAAAAAGCCAAGGCCTTTCAATATTGAATGTAATAACGTTATTTGTTGAAATCTAGATTCGACCACTACTCTGCGAACGTGATGGTGGACGGGAAACCCATCAACCTCGGATTATGGGATACAGCTGGACAAGATGATTATGACCGTTTGCGGCCCCTCTCTTACCCACAGACTGACGTCTTCCTGATATGCTTCGCTATCGACAATCCAACATCTTTGTCGAATGTTCGAACAAAGGTTATCCATTTCACATTAACTAAATTATCATAAGAAAACTTACACTTATGAATATTAAAGCTTTCGTGTAAACTGCGAATTCAAGTTTTTTTTTTAATGGATGATAATGGTCACTAACCCTCGCTGGCGGGGCACCAGTTAGGGATGATGGCATGAAATGAAAAGGCAGGTCAGTTAACCCATCGTAATGAATACACCTGGATTTTAGTACGATGGTTTCCAGTAGGGACAAGGAGGAGGTCGACTTGACAGGGTATACTGCTAGCAATAGGACTGATAGTTCGCATTACTAACAATCTAATTACTAACAAATACTACTTCCCCCTCGCGAATTAAAGTAAGTATCTATAGGTACTTTATCCATCCATCCACATCAGCCGTTAACTGTCCACTACTGAACATAGGTCTCCCCCCCCCCCCTCTTAAAGGAGGGTTTTGCTAGTAGTTATCACGCTGGGCAGGCGGTTATAGTATTATATTAGTAGAATAGAATTATGAGACACTACATGTGTTGTAAACCCTGAGAACTATGTTGTCATTGTTAAAACCAAGCCCTAAAAGGGCTTGGTTTCAGTCAAGTACAAGTCAAGTCAGTTAGCCCATCGTGACGAATACACATGGAATTCAGCACGATGGCTTCCAGGGGGGACCACAGGGAGGTCGACCTGGTTGGATATATTGCTAGCAAATGGAACTCTTAGTCACCATTACTAATAATATCCCCCCCCCCCCTATAACGGTCTACTGGACAGGTATATATTCAGCAGAGGATAGATAATGCCTGGTATGATGATATTGAATAACAGCAGATTTTCTTACAGTCGGCTCAATTTATTCGTTTGTCTACATTTTTATTAAGTTCTATTGAAATAAACTATAAGAATTCACGCATTGATATATCGTTGACAAAACTCTCAAACTTAATTCAAGCGAGACATAGAAAACTATAATTTCTGTGTATTCTTTGTATTCTAGTTTATATTTTATATGAATGTATAAAATGTTATTGTTTCTGTTTTAAGAGTGGGATATAGTAACTACAGAGTCCTAACATTATAGTCCTCAAACATAGCGACGTATAAGTGGTCACATGGATATGACACTATATTTTATGATATTCATGGTACTGCCAATGTCTATAGGTGATAGCTATCGCTTTCCATCAGATTGTCATTCTGAGTATCGTAAAAAAATTGGATTTTAAAATTGCAGTGGTATCAAGAAGTAAAGCACCATTGTCCAAATACACCGATCATATTGGTCGGCACGAAGCTTGATTTGCGGGATGACAAGGAAACAATTGAGAATCTGAAAGAGGGAAAATTGGCACCTGTTACGTATCCACAGGTAGGTACGAGTATGATCTCTCGCTAGCTTCAAACCTCTGTGGAGTCCTATTAAATCGTACTATTTTCCCGTGTTCTCTCTTCGTCTTCCACTTTCATTCTCTTCTGTTGTATGTGTGCTAATAGTGCATTTAAAATATTTGAGAATAAATAACTATATTATCTCTGTGTAATTACATTACGTAATGGTAGTAGTGTTTATAAACTGGTTAACATAATACATATTTATTTTTTCGATACAGGGGTTTGACATGTCAAAAGAAATAAACGCCGTGAAGTACATAGAATGTTCAGCACTGACGCAAAAGAGTTTGAAGACTGTATTCGACGAAGCCATACGTGCTGTCTTACGGCCCTCGCGGCCGCAGAAACCAAATCGTAAATGTAGTATTTTTTAATAATTTGGAATTGTATTTTAATATTTTAGTTTATAATAATTTTTATTTTATTTCACATAATAGGAAATTGTAATAGAAAATTTAATAACATAATTTTTTTTTGTCTGTATTTATTTATTTACATTAACTTGCTCGAACCTTTTACCAGGGACAACTTGTTCGACTCGATAAATCCAACTTTGATCGAAAGGTCGTCCAACGAATCCAACTCGACTGGACAGCGTTCGGAAAACTACGCTACATCTTCCCATTATTCGTTTGTAAAGAACTTCGAATTTTAGTTTTTTGAATTGTTATTATTTATTAAAATAAGAATTGAATTCAGATAAAAGAATTTTCTAAATCGCTTTAGAACTGACGGAGTTACGAGTAATATAGAGAAAAAAAAGGCAACTAAATTAAAAACGTCCTTCTTTTTGAAGTTGGTTGAAAATGACCTTTATTGTCTTTGTCATACAAAATAGACATGTAATAGTTATTATTATTAATACTATAATTCGGTATTTCTGACTTAGAGCCATCATCATCAACTGTCCACTGCTGAACCACCCACCTCTCTCTATTAGTGGTTTTGCCAGTTGTTACCAGGCTTGGTAGGCAAGTTGGAAACCGCAGTTAGGCTTTTGGTGATGTATTAAGGGGTCCCTCTGGCGCCCCGCTGGTGTATACCGATAGCGCGGGTGGGGCAACCATTCCATTATCATCCTATAAAAAAAACATCGTACTAGGGGAAAAGGGATTGTTAGTAATGGAGACTGAGAATCCCATTGATAGCAATATACCGAACCAAGTCGACCTCCTCGCGGTTCTCCCTGGAAACTGTCATGGTTAATTCCTGATGAATTCATCATGATGGGCTAACTGGCCTGTTTTCATTCTCATCTATCACCCTTCACTGGTGCTCCGCCAGCGTAACCCGTTAGCGCAGGCGGGGTCACCACTCCATTTTCACCCATCAAAAAAAAACCACAGTGCTGAATTCCAGATATGTTCATCACGATGAGCTAACTGACCTGTGTTTTTATTCTCACCTATCATCATTCACACACATATTCCGTTAGCGCAGGCGGGGTTACCATTACATTATCATCCACTAAAAAAAAAAAAACTATTTTTGTACATAATATCCCTGTCGAGAAATACCTAGCAACAATTTTATGATATGAGGTGATCGGGTAATTCCCCTGTTGGTGCGAATTTCTTTAACACTATTACAGTGAAGTATTCTGTTAGGGGAAGTTCCGTCTTAGTTCAACGGCAACCATATTTTTAGGGTTGTGCCTTTATGATTTTTACTTATTAAATATTATAACTGACTTTTTTTATGGATGACAATGAAATGGTAACCCCTCCCGCGCTATCGGTATTTACTGACGGGGCACCAGTGATGGATGATAGGTGATAATGAAAAGGTAGGTTAGTTAGCCCATCGCGACGAATTTGATAATAATTAATGACGACGGTTTCCAGGAGAAACCGTCGTCATTAATTAGGTCGTCCTCCACGCGTTTCCTAGAAACCATTTTGGTATTTTTTTTATAAATTCGTCACTATGGGCTAATTGACCTGTTCCATTCTCACCTAGCATCTCTCATTGGTGCCCCACTGGTGTATACCGATAACACAGGCGGGATTACTACTTAATTATCACGCTTTAAAAATCGGTTACCATTTGTCATTATGTGCATCTTACAAATATAATAATGTTTGTACATGGTAGATATTTAAAAAAAATATATGTTTAGTTAATATCTTAAAAGTCAAATTAATGCCAAAACAATAATTTTTGGAAACTTAGTCCCTGTTAACCTATGTCACTGTGTAGACCTCGAGAGTTGCTCCGTTTATCTATAACAAGGAACTTTATGAAATAACTTATTCCTTACAAGTGATGCATTTTCACAGGAATCTAATAATAAAAACTATTGCTGCTGTTTCTAAGTAGAAGGGATCAGCTAATTGGGGCTCCTATAAATCGCGTGATATAATTTTAACGCTAACCATTGCCTTCATTGTCTGTCCAAAATTTTGTAACACAAATATCAACGCATTAAGAAGAAGTGCATCTTTCTTTTTTCAAATAAGTTATCTAAAAACTAATCGAAACGCACATAGGCTAGTATAAAAAAAACTATATAAACTTAAAACGTAGACTTTGCTCTGAGAAAATACCTAGGAGCTTTTAACAATACTGACAGACGGCATCTTTCGTAGACATATTGGATTTAAAATATTTGAAAACTAACTTTTACCGGCGACTTCGTCCACTTAAACAGAGTACGGGAATATATTATAATTAGCCTAAGTCTTTTTCTATTCCACATATGTGTATACCAAATTTCACTATTAATTACAGTGAAAATAAGTTTGTTTATTACCTCTTAGCGGTTTAACAGGTCAACAAATCATTATAAAATTTTGTAAAAGAAGAACATAAGCTACTTTTTATCCTACTCAGTCAATATACTCTGATCATATGAACAAAGTCACGAGTAAAAAGTAAATAAAAGGCGCGCAGTCAGTCTCGCGCTCGCATCACATTCTCTCATTTCCAAGGATCACGATTTGATTTTATAACTAGACGCGTTAGAGATAATACTTATACTAGATTTTAAGTAAAACTTTCAGGAGCACAGCTGTGAAAACCGTATTCGATTTGATGTAATAACTTTCGCATGATGGTAGAACAAATAAATTGACAGACAGGCAGATAGATAAATAAAAGATCTAAAATAAATATTTGTTTTGGCTCCTTTTATTATTTTCGTTATTGTTTTCGTTACTTTTTATTTTTATGCATGTGTATTTCTTTTTGTTTCTATGTTTATCTCTACACAAATATAATTTTTATCTGTCTATTTATCTATTAAAACGTCTTATATTTGAGAACACAAATACTATCCTTATTCTAAGTCTTGTATATATATAATACAATTATATTATATCAGTCATTTATATTTGTAAGATAAGATACGAGATTACTATTTAAATTTGTTGACATAAAATTATTGTGTTTCTTACATGAATGAAATATCATTATCATATTAGCCGTTAACTGTCCACTACTGAACATAACTTCTCCCATAAAGGGGGCTATTGTCAATCGTCACTCTTGGCAGGAGGGTTGGTAACCACAGGTTTTGATGATGTTTAAGAGGGATGCTGCTGCCCATCTCTCGGTCATTAAGTTCCCTTCGTCGCCTCACAAAAAAGGTACGGGTGTGAACCATTCTATGCTTGGACTACATGGTAATGAATAAGATACCAAAGTTATTATTAAGAATAATAATGTAATTAGAAATTTCTTATTTTAGGCTATAGATTTACTGGGTACGGAGGAATAACACCTGAGTCCTTAGGAATGGCAACGCATTGGGGGTATCATGGGCGAAACAGTATACTCTGTTATGTCCATGGTACTGCTCATGTCTATAGGTGACTGTTACCACTTTCCATCAGGTGGGCCGTCAGCGAGATTGCCATTCGAAGTTGTATAAAAAAAATATAGTAAAAAGTGGACCGCATAAATAAATTTTTCGATAAATTCTTAAAAACTGTACTAGTTTACCACCTACACTAACAAAACAAAACATTTTAACAGATTAGCTTGACATATGACCATATAGTAACATGAATGAAATAATATAACACACACGTGCCTATTTCAAAACAGTCTAGCGCCCGCCTTAGAATCTGAGCAAAGTTTTGCGAAAACACGTCTAAGTAAATATATGTGTTTTTTTTATAAGGCGCCAGCCCCCGTTAGAAAATAAACTCAAATATGCCAATGACTCCCCTCAATCTAATCATCCCCTATCTCTCTCCCTTAAGGTTAGAATTTCCAAAAATTGCTAAAAATCGTTTTTGGAAATTCTTCTCCTGTCGATCTTTTCGGCTGGAAGTTTGTATGCGAAAGTATTTTTTTTACCGATTTATTTAATGGCAAAGGATTGTTAGTAATTTGGACTAGCGATCCCATTGCTAGCAATATACCAAATATGGTTGCCACCACCTTGCAGTTCTCCCTGGAAATCATCCAGATTGATTTTTTGTCGAATTCGTCACGTTGGACCAACTAGCCTTCTTTATCATCACCTATCATTCCTCATTGGTGCTCCGCCGATTCGCACCGATAGTCCCTCTTAAAACAACTCTAAACTCTAACTGCGGTTACCAATCCGCCTGCAAAGCATAGCAACTACTGGCAATACTCCCCAGGGGAGAGGATTATGTTCAACAGCGGACAGTTAAAGCCTGATATGATGATGATTCTAATCAATTAATTATTATTTTCCTTTATTCTAACTTCAAACATAGGCAGGTTATATTATAACTGTACTAATTAAAACTAATATATAGATATAAAATTTATAATTAATTTAAGCAATCTACAATACAATCCCAAATACATATTTTAAAATTCCATATTTCCAATGCAAAAGAAATATTTTTACATTTAAAACTTACAAATTCAAGAATATTCAACTTTTTAAATTCACAACACAAATTTATCGGTTAACTATATTAATATTGAAAATGTAAAAACAGGAATACATATAATAAAAATTTTCTTGTTTCAATGTTGATCAAAATAAATGTGACAACCCTAGAAACGAATTCGGAATGACAGTAATTTTTTATGGGCGGGAACCGTCCGTATGTAGATTCTTTACACTGTGCTAATATAATAAAAAATATTATTAATCGGTGTTTGCACATAAGAGTTATTTAAGGAACATTATAATGAGAGGGTTTTATAAGACTAGTAGATCTTAATACAATCATCGTCATCATCTCAGCCAATATCTGTCCACTGCTGAACGTAGGCCTCTCTCATAGACTACCATAAAGATTAGTATCATCATACATTACCAGAGGGAGATTTTGTACAAAAGTCGTTTGTTTGGGCACCTCTGTCACATTCGTGTTTGAACCGTGAAGCAGTTGTGTTCGCATGGCTGTGTTTCGATTTAAAGGGTGGGATATTGCGTGAATTCACGGGGTACAGAGGAATAACAACTGAATCCTCAAGAATGGCAACGCATGGAGGATATCATGGGCAAAACAGTAAACTCTAATAAGTCCATAGTACTGTTCATGTCTATAAACGACGGTTACCACTTTCCATTAGGTCCGCCGTCACCTTGTTTGCCATTTTAAGTTGTATAAAAAAAACACAGTCCTGAACCACCTGCATCCACTGACTCCCAGCAATGCATTTTAGGTCGTTACTCCATCTAGTGGGGGGGGGGGGGGGGGGGGGTTGTCCTACACTGTTTGCTCGTACGGGCTCGCTACTCAAGATCTTTTATTCCCTATCGGTTGTCGATTCTTCGAGCCATGTGACAAGCCAATTGCCAGGGGGAGAAGGGATTGTTAGTAATGGGAATTAGTAGCCCTATTGCTAGCAATATACAATGTTAGGTCGACCTCCTCGTGGTTCCCCCTAGAAATCATTGTGATTGATTTATTGTTAGATGTGTCACGGTGGGCTAACTGACCTGCTTCATCATCACATATCATCCCTCACTGGTGCCCCGCCGGTGTATATTGATGGCGCAGGCGGGGTTACCAATCCATTATCATCCATTAAAAAAAGCCAATTGCCACTTTAAGCTGCTTATCCTTCGGACTAAGCCGCGTGTGGTCCTGATTTAGAATAAGCCCCTGGTATAGAATAGGCCCACCCTTTCCTTTCTCATAGATGTAGTAAGAAGCAACTAAAGGTACTGATGGTCGAAGGATGGGCATAATATCAACAAAATTAGAAAATATCTAGCAACGAAAAACCTAAAAAGAGGACAGATAACAATCTGTTATAATTCTTAATCTGTGTTCCATGTAAAATATGTATTTATTTTCATTTGTTTAAGTACATTTTTACATAACGAACAAGAATTTTTAAAATGTTTTTCTTTTGGCAAAAATTAATAGTTTTTTTATTAGGATCTACAAGCACGTGTACTCGGTTACTATAAACAATTTTATCTATACTCTGTGGATCTGTAGTAATTTTTATCATATCATATTAGCTATTTATGATTGAATTCTTAATAAAAAATTGCATAATATCCCACGGAGATGTTAAAAATCGATATTTAAATATGGAGACTTTGATTTCATTTTTCGATAATTCAATAGATAAGTATTAAATACATCCATATGGCAGTATAGATAAATTCTTTTGCTTACACATGAGTAGGTACAGTCAATAATTAAAAAAAAAGTTATGGAACTAAATTATGAATTATTTTTTATCTGGAACTTTTTAAATATTTTCTATTTGTCTATTTATTCTAATGTCTATTTATTTTTGATCTGCCATTACGATGGACTGTTACTTCTACTCACACAATTGATCCGGTTTTCACTTTGCAAATAAATTTCTGGCGGTAACAAGGACTACTGCATATATGACTTACCTCTCTGCAATGATAGACAAATAGTTGTTATTTTGGATGTCCTGTTGATGGTAAGTATATAAATAAATATTATTTATTTTCTATCTATTAAAATGAATCCTGGTAATTTTGTTATTAAAAGTTACAATGTTATCCTCCAAAAGTAGTAGTACCTAAAACTTTTATTCTGGCGTACGCAAATTTATCTCAAATAATCTTATATCATCAAAAAGAGTATTTATTTTTTTACTACAACCTTTTTTAATTGGAATCCTCTTCTAATTTATGTTTTTTCTGACTTGAACTATTTTTATGTGCACTATTTCGCGTAGATTTCAGAAGTAAAAAAACTATCGTAATACAAACGATCCTAAGGGTCAAAATTTCTAAATATTTCTCTTTTGGCATCTATTGGTTTTATTAAGTTGACTCCTACTACTTTTTTTTAAATATCTTCCATGTACAGTAGTACATTGTCTTGTTCCTATTGTATTACGAATATGTCTGTTAATAATGACTAACTAAGATTATATTTTTATTACTCTGTTGTACATACATTTATTGTTGATGTTTTTATGCGAGAAGAATTGTATGTTGCGGCATTTTTTTCAACACAAAAATATACATATATAATATATTTCTCAACATATTTATTAAAAACTGATTACCTCCTAAATATATAAGGTTTTATTATACAAAAATTGGTTATTGAATATTTTTAGGAGAAATCAATAAGAGTAACTTAATTAATTATTTAACATAAATAAATAAGAATAATTTTATATTTTAAATTACAGTACAGATTCAGATGTCCAAAGACTTATGAGAGCCAACCAGTCCTGTTGCAGTTGTGGTACCTGCAAGGAATAGACAGCTGTAGCTTGTATTTCAAGGAATATTAACAGGTAAGTTTTTTTTATCTATAAATTTTTCTTGCACAAATAATTAAAAATTGTGATCCACAGAAAAAAGAAATCCCTTTGAGGGATAAGTATGCCTGTATATATTTTTTGTTAAATTAATATATACATACTGTAAGCGATGCACCTCGCACCTCGTAAAATGTTATAATTGTAACCACTAGCGCCATCTGTTAGCATTTGATTGAATTAATGCCGGCGCGCATGCGCCAAACGATTGTCCCGTGACACGTGTGTGTACGAGTTGTTAGTTGTTGTTGTTAGTTCGTAGTTTTGCTATATTTTGTGAATTGATTAAAAAAGTGTCTTGCAAGCGTCCGTTTCATTTTGATAACTACCAAAATAACATTTTCCAACAACGGTCTGTTACATTCGCTGTTCCATCGAGCCGGATCCTTTGAAGAACAAGCAAGTTAGAAAATGTTCGTTACGACGCGAACTCCGCGCAAAATGCAAACGCGGAGCGCCATTTTGAAGTCGCGTGAACAAAGGGAAAAAGTTGTACGACGTGTTAAAACGGATGCAGACACGATGATTTCCCACAGTAAACATTCCAGCAGCTCCACGTTGGCGCGTAAAAAGCAGCTGGAATGGGAAGCAGCTCGAGCTAAAGCTGAAATTGAAAAGCAGCTCATTGAAAAGAAACTGGCCGCTGACATCGCCGCCCTGGAAGTAGAAAGTTTCAGAAGTACCAGAAGCCAACACTCGTTGGTGAACTCCAACACCAAGATAGAACAATGGTTAGATCGCAGTAATCTGGATGCACCTGAGCGCCCGCACTGTGGTGGGTCGCTAACGGAGGCGCCGGCAGTGGCCGCGTCAACCGACATCCAGCAGTTGACCTGCGCTCTCAGAGACGCTATCACCACTGGAGTCCACACGAGTAACCGGCAACTTCTGTCCCGATTGAGTACTTCAAAAGACTTACCTCAGTATTACGGCGATCCCTTGGAGTGGCTCCAGTTCCATAAATCGTACCAAGAATCCACAGAGTTGTGTAACTACACTAACACGGAGAATCTGTGGCGTTTGAGAAAGTGTCTTCGCGGAGAAGCGAAGGATGCCGTGTCCTCTATGCTCATCGGCAACACCTCACCTGATGTGATCATCGAGACCTTGGCACTTCAGTTTGGAAGACCAGAAGTAATAATAACAAAGATAGTCAACCAATTAAAAAAGATAGCACCGCTACCACCTGCATACCACAATGAAATAGTGACCTTCTCCACCAAAGTGAGAAACTATGTAGCAGCAGTGCAGGCGATACAGCAGTCCGATTACCTACGGAGTCCGGAATTAATGACAACCGTGATCTCTAAGTGTCCTAGTGTTCTTATTACCAAGTGGGTCGATTATTCATTTAGTCATTCATACGAAAATAGAACCAAATTGGAATTATTTGCCGAGTTTTTACACATCGAGGCGACCAAAACGGCAACCGCCGGTGTGAGCAACATATATAGTCATTCTGAAAATAAAAGAAGACACGAGACTGAATATAAAAAACCGAATAAATATTACAATGTGCATACAACAGTCGAACATGTGATGAACACCTCGACACCAGTGAATGTTTGTAAATTCTGTAATAAGAGTGAGCATCGATTAGACGAATGTACTCGCTATAAGCGAGCGATGCGCCGCGACCGCTGGAATTTCGTTAAGGTAAACAAACTTTGCTATAAATGCCTAGCGGCCGGCCACCACAGTGAAGCGTGTAGAGCGGACAACTGTGATATCGACGGGTGCCGGCAGTCGCACCATAAATTACTGCACTACGTGAAGTCGCCACCTGCAAATGAGACAAAAGAGGAAGATAAACCTGTGGAGACCGTCGCACATACATATGCACTATTAAAACCTAAAGTGCTACTGAAAGTGGTACCTATAACCGTGCACGGCCCGAAACAGAGTGTACAGACGTACGCTCTACTCGATGATGCCGCGACCATTTCACTGATAGCGGCCGATATTGCAGACAGCGCCGGACTCCAGGGGCAGACTACAACTATGCGCGTGGACAGCGCATGGGATGCTGGGCACCTTACGTGTTCAGTAGAGAATGTGAAGTGTAGTGTATCAAATAGTGATGGTGTTCGTTTCGATTTAAATGTTTGCAAAATGCGAGAACTTAATCTCCCAGTGTATAGCGTGTCCGGTCTTAACGTACAAAAGTATAAACATGTGAGTGAAAATAACTTTATACCTAAGTACTCTAGTGATGTTAAACCTAAGTTATTAATAGGTCAAGATAATTATCATTTAATTGCACCGCTCGAATGTTATGGTAGTAAAAATGAGCCTTATGTAACAAAAACACAATTAGGTTGGTGTGTACATGGATCTGTCTATAGTAAAAATGATGTAAATAATTTCTCAGTTTGTTCATTATTGTATAATAATATAAAATGTGATCCGAGTAGTGTAAGTGGGTGCGAAGGTATGTATGAGGGTGCGTCGCCTAGTGTTGGTGTCCGTGACTCGTTAGCGCCCGAGTGCGGCCCTGTGCGCGCTTCGCTCAGCCCGTCCGTCGCCGCCATCACCGCTCAGGGACAAAGGTCAGTCGATTAGTGTACCTACAGTGATATTTTATTTCAAAATGAAATGAAACTTTTCTTTTCGTTAGAAACAATAGGTATTTCGAATATACCACGACAGAATGCGAACGATTTGAAAGCTATTTCAATATTAGATAAAACTGCTAATCTCATCAATGAACATTGGGAGGTAGGGTTGCCTTGGAAATCCGAAACCTCAATGCCGGATTCATATCCAAATGCCTTGAACCGATTGAAGTCTGTCGAACGAAAAATGAGTTTGAATAATGAGTACGCGCTACGATACAGAGAACGCGTAAACCATTTGCTCGTAAACGATTATGCTCAAGAACTTGTACCCGGTAATCAAAGTGCACAGCGAGTTTGGTACCTACCGCACTTTGGTGTAGACAATCCTAACAAAAATAAGTTGAGATTAGTTTTTGACGCAGCGGCCACATGCAAAGGTTATTCATTAAACGATTATTTATTGCAAGGCCCAGATTTGTTGCAATCTTTATTAGGTATTATGATGCGATTTCGTGAGAACCCAATAGCGGTAACGGGAGACATAAGAGATATGTTTCTACGAATTAAAATTAAACCAGAGGATCGACACGCACTACGGTTTTTATGGCGTGATAACCCTGGCGATGAAGTTAATATATATAATGACTTCGCTTATTTTTGGCGCGAATTGTTCCCCATTTATTGCACAGTATATAAAAAATAAAAACGCTATTAGATTTGAATCCACGATGCCGGAAGCTGTAAAAACTATTTTACAAAGTCACTATATGGATGATTGCATTGAGAGTTTTGAAAATATCGCGATTGCTATAAAAGTAATAAACGAAGTCATATATATACATAAGAATGGAGGTTTTCATATACATAATTGGATAAGTAACTGCGAAGAGGTCATGCAAAATATACCGGAATATGCCTTAGGTGATAAAGCCGTAAGGTTCAAAATTGAGAATCAGCCGGAACGTACACTTGGATTAATGTGGCATCCCTCTAGTGATACGCTAGCGTTTGACGTATCCTTGAAACGTATCTCGGAGGATATTTTGAATTTAGTGCGCAGGCCTACTAAACGAGAAGTACTTAGTATAATAATGTCTATATTCGATATTCACGGTATGCTCGCTCCATTCACAATTAAAGCAAAAATATTAATGCAATTAATATGGAAATCCAATATTAAATGGGATGAAAACATCACAGATGATTTATACAATTTATTTTGCAATTGGTTAACTCAGTTACAAACTATTGAAAGCATTCGTGTTCCGAGATGGTACTTTCGTACGTCGACCGATGGTTCAAATTCCTGTGACAGCGGACGTAACTCTGCCACTTCAAGTCACGTGACCGCGGTCCCCGCTGATCGCCTACCGACGCGCGCGCTATGCGAATCCAATCCGTTCCAGCTTGAATTGCACATCTTCTGCGATGCTTCGCCTGCTGCTTACGCAGCCGTGGCCTATATCAGGAGAGTATCGCGCGACGGAAACATATTAATATCATTCGTTGCAAGCAAAAGCCGTGTCGCACCTGTGAAACCAATTTCTGTGCCAAGACTAGAGTTGCAAGCAGCACTTCTAGGATGTCGTCTTGCTGAAACTATACAGCGCGAGCATAGATTTAAAATAGACAAGCGATATTTTTGGACCGATGCGTCCACAGTGTTACATTCGATACGAAATAACACACGAAATTACAAAATATTTGTTGCGAATCGCCTAGGTGAAATTGATTCACTGTCAAAGATAAATGAATGGCATTATATACCTACACATTTGAATATCGCGGACGTAGCTACTAAACAGAATAATTATGTATTAAACAATGAATGTGAATGGTTTATTGGTCCTCGATTTTTGTATTCCACTCGCGAACAGTGGCCATTGGAGCCTGATAATCTAAATAAAAATTGTAACAGTGATGTAGAAAATGTACATGCTGTATGTAATATAAACGAAAGAGTAGACTTACCTGTACCGGATCCCAGTCGGTTCTCCAGATGGTTGCGTTTGCTGCGTAGTACTGCGGCTGTACTATTGTTTACTGAAAAATGTAAGAAAAGTATTATATATACAAAAATTGACCGTAGATTACTGGACCGTGCCGAAGTGTTATTATTGAAGTATTCGCAGGCTGAATCCTTTCCCTGTGAAATAGAAGATATTAATCAGAACAAAGAAATAAATAAAAATAGTAGATTACGTACCTTAACTCCTTTTATTGATGAAGAAGGATTGATGCGCGTAGACGGCCGTATAGGTGCTGCAAAAAATATAGATATACAAGTAAAAAATCCTATAATTCTTGATGGTCGAAATCACGTTGCACGATTGATAGTGAAGCATTACCATGAACGTACTGCTCACTCCTGGAATGAGATGGTGGTGAATGAAGTAAGACAAAAATACTGGATAATTAATTTGCGACCTACAGTCCGTACCGTTGCTTCCAGATGCTTGTTATGTCGAATAAAAAAGGTTACTCCTAAACCATCTAGATTAGGTGACTTACCTGAAGCCAGATTAGCCCATTACTTAAGGCCCTTCACTCATTGTGGCATCGATTTGTTCGGTCCTCTTGAAGTCACAGTAGGACGACAGAGACCTAAACGTTATGGAGTAATATTCACCTGTCTGACAGTCCGTGCGATACATATTGAAGTAGTGCCTTCGCTGACGACGGATTCACTCATCATGGCTCTCAGAAGAGCAGCTGCACGACGAGGGTGGCCACAATGCATTTATTCAGATAACGGCACCAACATGAGAGGGGCAGATGCTGAATTAAAGAAAGCCTGTGCTGAAATTATGAACAACGATATAGTCCAATCAGAACTCGCACACAGAGGAGTAGACTGGCACTTCATACCGCCGGCTAGTCCACATATGGGCGGAGCCTGGGAGCGCCTCATTCGCAGCGTGAAGTCTACACTTCGCGTTGTGCTGAAAGAAAGAGCGCCGCGTGAGGAAGTTCTTGTTACTTTTCTCGCAGAAGTAGAGAGTATGGTGAATAGTAGACCACTGACTCACGTATCGGTGGATCCTAGGAGCCAGGAGACACTGACCCCTAACCACTTCTTGCTTGGTTCCTCGTCTAACTTACCTGTGCTCGGTGACTTCGACGACAGTGACCTTTACCTGCGCCGTCAATGGAGAGTAGCTCAAAGGTTATGTGATATGTTCTGGCAGCGATGGCTGAAAGAAATATTACCTGTGCTGTTGCCGCGTCAAAAGTGGTACCACGATGAAGATTCAGTCCGTGTAGGAGACTTGGTTCTTGTAGTGGACCCGAACTTACCTAGATACAGCTGGCCTGTAGGAATTATAGAAGCTGTATATCCTGGAAAAGACGGGAGAGTGAGGGTCGTGGACGTGAGAAGCAACCGGGGCGTGATGAAGAGACCGGTGACACGAGTGGCACCGTTTCCGCGAGTTGATGAGTGTCGCGACACCGACACTATGGGGGAGGATGTAAGCGATGCACCTCGCACCTCGTAAAATGTTATAATTGTAACCACTAGCGCCATCTGTTAGCATTTGATTGAATTAATGCCGGCGCGCATGCGCCAAACGATTGTCCCGTGACACGTGTGTGTACGAGTTGTTAGTTGTTGTTGTTAGTTCGTAGTTTTGCTATATTTTGTGAATTGATTAAAAAAGTGTCTTGCAAGCGTCCGTTTCATTTTGATAACTACCAAAATAACATTTTCCAACAACGGTCTGTTACACATACTATGTTATAAGTAAATGTGCAAAAGTATATAAATAAATATATAAAAAAAATCTTCAGTTGTGACAATGCCATCTATTTTGATTTAAAAATTACTTTAATTGATTTTGATAAAATCTGTAAGTATATTTGTTCAGATAAAAAAATTATAATTTCCCAAATCTGTTAAGAACTGATGAAGTTATTAGATAACAAACAAACAAAAATGCAACTGAATTGAGTACCTCATTCTTTTTGGATTTGATTGAATATACATCCATCTAGATGAAACAAGATTAAACTATTAAACACATTTTCATAAAATGTCTATTGAAAGTACATCCTATACTTTCAGATTGCTTCAGATTAAAAAAATAATTTTCCAAATCAATTTATAAATGAGTTCTAGTTCTGAGGTAACAAACATAAAAAAAAATTAATGAAATAAAGAACTTCCTCTTTTTTTAAATTAGTTGAATAATATTACAGAAGAGCATATTGTTAACAGAAAGAACAAACTTGATGATGAGGCAGTTTAATATATCACCTTACCTTCTAATAATCTCAGTACCTATTCAATATAAATATTAGTCATATGAATGAATGAATGAGTATACTTTATTTGCATTATACAATATAGGAAATAAGCAAGGCAATTTACAAACATATGATCCAATTGTATAAGTACAGTAAGGCGGTCTTATTGCTGAGAACAGTCATATATATGTTAAATAAATATAGTACATCTACTTTGTCTTTATTAAAATAATTTTTTAATCTGACTGGCCTTTAATTGACATCAAGAAGGAGAAGTTCTTAATGTAGTTGTATTTTTTTTTGTTTTATGTTTATTACATCGTAACTTTGTCAGTAGGAAATTAATTTGAAAATTTCTTTTTTTATCTAAAAGCATATACCTACAGATTGGTCCCATAGAAATTTTATAAAAATCAATTCGGTAGTTAAAGTTTTTAAATTACAATAACTGGTTTTGTCACAATTGAACTCCATTATAATATGTAGGTATGTCGCAAAAAAATGTATGTATGTCTATCTGATGTCTAATATCCATACTACAAGCTCTGCTAAATTTTTTCTAGATAGCCCTGTGTAATTTGTCCAGAAATTAAAAAAAAAAAAAGTAATTACCATAAACTATGAACACTAGAGAGGCTGCCAATGTGTTGCCAATTTTTGAAAAAGAATATAAATGACATATCACTGAACACTTAATTAATTGAATATTTACATCAATTTTATTATATAATCTCCTTCATATTGTCATTTGCCTGCATAATATGCTGCATAAAGTTAACTAATATTAGAGGTCTTCATAAGAGACATAGAATCAAAATTATTTCTAAATATTTGTCTATGTGTTTATTACTGCATCACACAAAAACTACTACAACAAATTGAATGTAATTTGCACGGTTATATTTCTGAAGGTCTAAATTAAAATTTAATCCTACTATATACTATATATAATAATAAAATTTAAACGTTACATGGATCTCCCATGTAAATCTAATTTAAGGAAAATTGATTCGAGATTCTTTATAAGACCAATGGAGGTCGAAACAATAATTTTAGAAATTTTGTCACTGTCTGTATGTTTGTTCCTACATTACTGACAAGTATCGCGTCAAATTGAATGCGGTTCTCACGGTCGTATTCCTGAAGATCTAACTTAAAATCTGGTATATGTTTTATCAGTCTGAATTAACCTACTTCAGCACGCTCCCTTAACTCGCGCAATACGGTTATTAAATCTTCTATAATATAAAAATGAATTGCTGAATGTGTTGCTAAGTGCAAATCTCGAGAACAGCTGAACTGATTTCGCTAATCCTTATTACAAACTATTTCTTGAAGTACAAGGATTCTTCCTATGGAGAAAATAAAAAAAAATCCTGAAAAGTTAGACAACAATTTTCTATACTCTTTTACAAACTATTCATAATAATATTTAAAAGACAATTTGAACTTTAATACCATATCATAAAGTTCAAGTGTTAGTGGAGAGATTCCGGGAAGGCAAAACAATAGAGTGACGTAGCACGGCGTGTTTTATAATTTTTATTTTTTGACATAATGTAATTGTTGACTTATTAACTTTTTTTTCTTATTTCATCTTACTAGCTTATCTGAATAGCAGAATAAGTATTAAAAAAAACTAAAAAAATGTACTGTTAGACGGTACAAAGTTTGCGGGGTCAGCTAGTAATGTTATAATTATTTTAATGAATGAAAAATAAATCTTGATATGCTGTTTAGAAGTGATCTATTTCATTGGTTACGTCTGAAATACACGCATACGAAGTAGCGAGCGAAAAGCTAGTTTAATATGTTTTATTAGGGGGAAAGGAATTTTTAGTAATGGAGACTGAGAATCCCATTGCTAGCAATATACCCAACCAGGTCGAACTCCACGCGGTTTCCCCTGAAAACTATCATGGGTAATTCCTGATGAATTCGTCATGATGGGGTAACTGGCCTGTTTTCATTCTCATCTATCACCCTTCACTGGTGCCCGGCCAGCGTATACCGTTAGCGCAGGCGAACCTGCCATTCCATTTTCAACCATCAAAAAAAAAGTTCTATTTCTATCAACCGACTTTGAAAAAAAAAAGCTTCTCAATTCGGTTGAATTTTTTTGTTTATTGTTTCATCATATTATCACCATATCAGTCTTTAACTGTCCACTATTAAACATACCTAAGCCTCTCCCTTGGGGAAATCCGTCAGTTTCCCTTAGTCGCCTGTTACGACACCTACGGGAAACGAAGGTGTGGCTTATTCTATGCCGGGACCACTCGGCATTTTTATTCTTTGTTTATTTATTTAAGGCAAACAAACAGCTAAAATAATATATAATTATATACTTAAATAGTAATTTGGTAGCCACTAGAATTTGCACAAAATAAAATACAAGTAAACGAGACAGAAAATTAGACAATTCTAGATTAAACAAAAATAAACAAACAAAAACTATTGAAAACTACAGCAACATTATCAATAACAATGCTCAGAAGTTAATAAAAAATTTTTTTCAAAAAAACACATTCTGTCAGGTTATGACTATAATAGATAGTCATGAATTAACATTTTTGCCAAATTTTTTAAGTATCTTTTTTTTAATCAATTGACAAGAAATACAAACTTCAGAATAAGACATTTTCTTGCGCGAAATTATCTTGTATGATGATAAAACAATGGTTGAGAATTGATCAGTAGTCGATCAGAAATAAAACGCATAAAAAAAATCCTTTAAGTAGCAGTGTAGTAGTAATTTCCCGTGTGGTCCCGGCATAGAATAGATCACCCTTTCCTTTCCTGATAGTGCCCTAAAAGAGGGCGAGGGATGGGCAGTAGCGTCCTTTTTAAAACATTTCCAAAGCTTAACTGCGGTTGCCAATCTGCCTGCCAAGCCTGGAAATTACTGACAAAACCCCCTAGGGGAGGCTTATTTTCAGCAATGGACAGTTAAAAACTGATGTGATGATGATATAGTAATAGTAGCAATTTATATAAGTATTATTATATAAGACATTATGTATATACCAAGCCAGTAATAAAAAAAGACGTGTGGCAGTCGGGGACTGCCGCGGTAAAGCTATTGTATAGCATTTTTTATCAATTTATGCAATTTTATAATTATTATACATAATGATATTATAAATAAGAATGAATATATATATATATATATATATATATATATATATATATATATATATAATTGAAAATTTAAACTATATAGGTGTGTGTTTATGTGTATAAAAGAGGGCTACTTTTAAAATCGCTCATTTCAAAATCCAAAATTTAGGTTATGTATTTTTATAGCAGTATTATATATAAATTCAAAAACAAAGACACTGCATTTGTGATAATAAATAAAATGTATTTATATAGAGTACTCACTCATTGTCTTTCACTATTTTTTCATTACTTTCTTCATTAATAAATGCACTTTGTTTATTCATATTTAATATTAAAACACTTTATACACAAATTTTACGCGTACAGCTATTCACTGTTGGACATAGATGATAGATACCTATACACCTATATACATGTATATATACTATATACCTACAGCATAGGGTTCTTCAAAAGGGGGGTAAAGAGGTTTCTTCAGGGTCGGCAACGCGCGCGTAATACCTCTGGTATTGCAGGCGTTCATAGGCTACGGTAACCGCTTACCATCAGGTGGGCCGTATGCTTGTTTGCCACCTCAGTGGTATAAAAAAAAAACATTCTCACAACAGCTGCTTACGTATTCGTCCAATTCCGGAACAGCTCGCAAAAAGCACGCTGTCTCACCTAGCATTGTATCTAATAAAAGAGATAGAATCAGTTATGAGCAGTCAGCGGCTAGTCTACACGCATACGTCTACTCGCACGCACACAAACACCGTGCCGAAGTCTGCCGAACTGAAACGACGTTAGACGATGCACGGCTTCCGTCCTCGCACCGCTCTGGCGCCGTAAGAGTGGGGGGTGTTAGGTTCAATTTCCGTTACGGAATTTTTACATTCGGTCTCCGCGCTCAAAGCCCGCGATAAAAGCTATACAATAGCTTAAAAATAAAACAAATTACTTATATTTGTCCATTTTGAGCATTATAAACGTAATTTATAGGATTTTATTTATTTTATTTTATTTTGAATTTAATGTGCATGTCCGAAAAATATTTTATTCGATAAACTTTTATGGAATTATTTTAAATCACAATGGTTTCCAGGAGGACCTCCACGCGGTTCCCCCTGGAAACCATCGTGATTAATAG